GAGCGAACCCAAACAACGGATGTCGGAACAAATAAAAAACGTTCCCAGTAAAGAATGTTCGACATAGCTGAGCGTGCACGGGAATTATGTCCGTGTGTGCGCTCAGACATGTGCCGTGTTGAGCAGTGAGTGTACAGTGTAAGCATTATTAAAGTGGTAAATAAAATACGTGAATGTTAGTCGTTTGAACCAAAAGAGGTTTCTGGACAGAGGCCAATTTCCACAACCACCGTTCCTGTACTGTCCATATCTAGGCGCTTCCCGCGACCTTTATAAGATAGTTGGTTCACAAATTGGGATGCCTGCGCCTTGCACGCTAATTAACGGTTTTAGCTGTTTGGGTGTCATTACATTATGTTTTCTCAAAAAAGAGTCTAGCAGTTTTCGTACAGCTGAACTATTCGCCAGCACAACCTATTGTCAGCGAATGTTCCGTTTAAATATTTTTCACCTACGAATCTTTACTCGGAAATACCCATTACCAGTTATCCTGTAGATATTATTTGCGTGAGGCGATAAAAAGATCATTGTCAAAATATTACTCAGGCAAAATGATCGCTGCCTATATGAAAAATGTATGTTTCAACCATGGGTTTGGGATGTTTCGAGGCAGTAAGTATTTTTAGAGTAACATAATATTTTGAATACTCTACGAGTATGTATGTACACCCATACACCGCTGTAAAGTGATAGAGTCTCTCGGAAGATATTATTACAAGCTATTTGCGTTTTTTCTATGGCAATTTTATACTATTAGTTGTTGATTAACCTTCACTATTGTAGAAGTAACCCAGATACTTAGGTCCTAAATAATCTAGGATTGTAGGTATTACTAATACAAGTTTTTCTTAAGTTTTCCATTTATCGCGTAGGTATCCTATTGAGTAATGGTATCCAAAAATATTCTGTCATTTCCTATTGCCGGAGCAATAAACAACAATGGACATATGTAAATATACGATATAGGACCCATCGATAAAAGGGTGTCCATTACCGGACATCTACAATTGTACAGGTGTGTATTTCTTTTATTATCCCGGACCTAACACCTTTCCCTGCAGGGCAGAGTTCTTTTAAAATGTATTCTGCCTTTTCCATTGCACTCTGACCGGTTGATGTTTTGTGAAAAAATACTGTGTCACCTTTACCTTTTGGCCATTATTATATACCTATCTATTTTATCGGTATGGTCCAAATTGTGTTTGGGACGTGTAGGATTCTGAGAGTTTTAAATACCTGTTAGCAAAATATTAATCATTTTTTATAAAGAGTTATGCCATAGCATTTGATGCTGACGAGTGACAGAAAGCAGCTAGAAGTCCTAAGTTTAACTTCCATGTGTGATCCTCATCATGTAATCTCCATTGTAGGAGCACAACCCTCTCTAATTTACCTAAGGAAAATGGAGAACATGACCTACTTGATCTGTCTCATGAAATGGTAAACTAATAGTAAGCCAATTGCAGGATTCTGATGCCCGTTTTCACCATCAATACCTAATTTTTAAGTAACCCCTATGAAAACAAAATTCCTGTAATGTGTTACCCTAAGGGTCACTTAAAAATTAGGGATTGATGGTGAAAACGCGCATGAGTCAGTTATTAATCATTGGGGCAGAAAAATCTCGAGTGGCGACCACGGTGACCACGGCTAGACGTACTTATTGTGGGCTCCCCACATGGTGGACCGACGATCTGGTGAAGGTCGCAGGAAATACCTGAATTCAGGCAGCGTAGGACCGGTCATTGTGGAATTACTTTATCCAGCAGTGGACGTCGTTTGGGTGAAATTAACGAACGAGTCAGTTATTAAGTGTTTACTCGTACAGCCCATGCTCAACAAAACAAAGCTAATAATAAAAACAATACCTGCGTTTAGCGCTCACATTACGGCGGCAGTTATCGCATCGTACATTATGCGTCAGAGTCGCGGAGTCATGACATAGAGTAGGTAGGGCCAGAAGATCCACTTGATTTAAATTACGACTAGCGGAAAATTTTACCATTAATTCAGATTATTTTCATGCAATTTGGCAATAAGAAACAGCTGTGATCTAATACTTACGTACATTGGCATCCAGTAAAAATAATTGATGGGATGATTGTCTGTCTTAATATTACTCTTAATAACGTTTGATACCTCAGTGTTGTTATTTATTCTGCTCATTATTACCTTGTCTATTACAGTATTTCATAATTTTACAGTAAATATAATTTGCATTTAGTTAAGTGTGCATTACTAATATCAAAATAATTCTCAGTAGTTTAAGTGAAAAATTTAAAACCGTTTAGTAGCTTTTTGCTGCCTCTTTATTTTTTTATTTTCTTTTTTGTGCCTGCATCTGTGTAGTCTTTATCATTTGTTAGTCTTAGGTATTAACAAATCTATTAACACTGAATTGGGCTATCTGTCTATAACTACACTGTGGCAACAGTTATCGCCTCGTACATTACATTGTCGTGAGGTTATAGGGCGGTCGTTTACGCAGATTTACTACTTATGAGCAACGATTGTGAGCGTTCGAGCGAACGAGATACTTTTTACCTTACTTCAGAGAGGTTGGTAATGGTTTTCGAGAGCTTGTAACTGTTTTTAGCGACCTTTAACCAGAATCGTTTGAAGGTTCTGATTTGCGATTGTGCAATTTGTTCGTTTCTTGATATTGGTATCGTGACAAGGATTTTACAGAGGGTATATCAAGCTAAATAATGCAATGTCTTAAGTAGGCTGACAAAACTGACTGAGTTTCTTCCGCCACTTCTTCTCAGCACCAGCCCATATGTTGTCCCGAAGTGGTGGTAGGGCAAGCTATATTTGGGACGTATATAAGTGCCCTGAAAAGGGCCTATGTTCTGAATAAACTATTTTAATTTGAGTTTTTATTGGTACTATTTAGTACAAATAAAATTATAGCCTGCTGTGAAATACTTTATTTGAATCTAAATTTAACTGTTACTGTATAAACGTAAAGGACATTTCTGTATTATAGAGACAAGAAATTCTAAAAATTTCAAAAACTGTAGGTGTCTCTTCTAACCAATGGTAATCAGTTCCATTTCAATTACATTAGTTAATTAATTTTATCCGTCAACATCTGATTATCTATATCTGATAATGATAATCTAGATTATTGGCTATAATTTAAACATGGCTTATGCTGCTATCTTGTTAACTATGATTTGACGTGATAATTTGTAGTAGGATCTCATGAAACATTCATGATGTGATTGCATAATGTACAAAATAGGGTAGTTTCAATATGGATGTTAATTTAGTTATTATCTGGCGACGATCAAATGATGGGATAGGTAAAATAATTAAACTTTAAGTATTGCATTGTTAGTTTAAATAATACTAGCTTTCCGCCCGCGGCTTCGCCCGCGTGGAATTTTGTCTGTCACAGAAAAACTTTATCGCGCGCGTCCCTGTTTCAAAAACCGGGATAAAAACTATCCTATGTTCTTTCCCGGGACTCAAACTATCTCTATGCCAAATTTCATCAAAATCTGTTGCGAGGTTTAAGCGGGAAAGCGTAACAGACAGACGGACAGACAGACAGACAGACAGAGTTACTTTCGCATTTATAATATTAGTTGGGAAGTTGGGATAAGCATTAATTTTCAGAAATAAAGTCAATGTAGGTATATTAATGCATTAGTGTTTTGATTTTAAAAATTACCTGAATTTACAGAAAAAGAGATGACTCTTTTTTAAGTTTTACATTTTTTCTAATTTATTGTGAAAAATTAAACATATACAACTAAATATTAACAAAAAACTACTATCACAAGATTTAGGATAACTTTGATCAGTAAATAAAATATAATACATTAATACTTAACAGTGCATTTTTTACCTGAAAATTTCAAAGTTATCTAAGATGCGCTTTATAGTTTTCTGCCACTGAAGTAAAGCCTTATTAATCTTGAATTCATGAAAATCTTGCGTATGTGAAAGTGAAAAGTACAGAAACTTGTATTTTTATTATTTCTGGGATCAACTTTGTCAAAAATACTACTTTCAGATTGTGGATTTTATTGCATCTTCCTCTTTTTTAGTGAGGAAAACGTAGGTTTTGGAAAAAGCGGCCTCACACGACACTTACTCAATTTTCATGTAAAATAGGTTCAGTCATACAGGATCTTCAAGTCTCATTGCCAAATTTCCATGATTTTACACAGATGTCGCTAGTATCTGTCTGTTTCGTGAAAATTATGGTAGATGGCTTTGTTTTAAATTTTGCATCATCGTCATCGGTATAATTTATTAAATGTTGGAGTCTTGACTTCAAAAGCTATTGACTTGCCTCTCTGTTTTCTTCATCAGTGTGGATTGTAATAATTAACTTTTTTTAAAAATAAAACCGACTTCAAATGCGTGAACACAAAAAAAATCTAAAAATTAAAAATATTGCGTATAAAAAAGTTCATCCCCAATTTTCCACCCTTGGGGGTGAAATATTTTCTTCAAATTCGCATGAAACCACCCTTATGATAATACCTATTCAACAAAAAAATAATCGTTCAAATTGATTTATAATCGGCGGAGATATTGCGTATAAAAAAGTTTATCCCCAATTTTCCACCCTTGGGGGTTGTTTTTTCTAATATTAAATTTAAATGGGACCACCCTTGAGGTATTATCTATACGCTGAAAAAAGATTTGTTCAAATCGGTTCATAATTGGCGGAGTTATCGCGTAACAAACATAGAAAAAAAACATACGGGTCGAATTGAGAACCTCCTCCTTTTTTGAAGTCGGTTGAAAATAGGATCTGGGATTAGTTTTTTGGGCGTTAGAGCCTTGAACGTCCTTTGAATCAATCACACCATATTTTTCCACTCTAATTTTGTCTTTCTTTATAATAGGATTTTATATAAATAAAACAACATTCTCCGGAAGTATAAGTTATAATAAAAGTTCATATAATTAAATTATAGCATAAATTTTCAGTTGGTATATAACTAGCACAGTGTTCGAAATACATTTATGATGTGAGCATTGTTTTTCATTTAAGATACATAGCTTAATCCAGTACAAATTTAGTTTGCTTTAGTCGAAATGTGGGGGGTGAGGGTACACCAGCTGAACTCCAGTTCTTCCCCTTAACTGAAGTACATCCCGTGGAGAATATGAAAGGGTTGATGGGAGATGAGTTATTATCAATATTTGCACCAATACGCATAGTGGATATAAATTACCTCACAAATTCTAACTCGTTTACGATGCGATTGTGCGCATTGCATACTTGGTCGAAGCGTTATGTGCAATGGACTTAGACAATGTGTGTAAATTCCCCGTTTTACACATTACAAGATTATAGATACCTAAAACTAGTTACACGAAAACTTAATCGGAAACTCACAACTCTCTCTCATTGAAAAGGAAAGCTTTCACATCAAAATTAAAGCTAGTATTAGAAAGTCTTATTTTAAAGTTTAATAGAAGCGGCTTCGAAGCATCCCTCCTCCTACGATCGATTCTAATTCAAAATTCAGATCACTCCTATAGAAGGAGATGGTCCCCATAAATAAATTTAGTTCTACGAATTGTTTTCAGTACTCCCTTTAGCAGAACTTTTGAAGGAACAATATGCTGTAAGTTATTTCCCTCTGAAATTAATGCAGTAATTTCTCCAACAGTGCTAAAAGAACCATTGTAAATAATTCACTTCTACAACGCTTACTCGATAGTCGAATCACCAAATCTAGCTTTCACTTACAAGGGAACAAGAGAAAAGAATATCCGAAACAATGAACTATTTTATAATCGACTTATTAAAACTTTATTTAAACTAACAATCTATAAAAATTGCCAAAAAGCTGTCGATCTAACGCTAAAAAAGCTAAATTTTCTATTTCTATTCCACTTAATCGCTAAAAATATCGTTGAATTTGTGCTCTACGTCTATTTTGTTAAAAACGTGACTTAATATTTGAAACGTGAGTGTGGATAACTATTTTAAATATTCAACTGCATTACTTCTATTTGTGTTTTAAATTTAGCTTACAATAGATTTTATGAGACAAATTTTAGAGGCACTTTTTAAGTGGCTGAATTTACGAGGATACATCTTGTGCTTTTATTGCTATACAATATAAGATCAATGAACGTAAGCCTAATATGGATGTCAATGCTAATTATTATCACAATTAGGGTAAAAACTGGACTGAATGATTTTATAATAAGGTACGTTTTACTCTTCATGTCACAGACTTTGCGTTACTTAAGTTGGTTATATTGGCTAGACCTTTATCGATATTTTTTATTGATTGCTTTATAGATCGAATCGTCAATTGTCTTCTAGATGAACTAGGTTATGCGTCTGGGGCTCGTATCTCTACGGTGACCGAAGTGGGTCCCGGAGTAGTAGGTGACCGCAGTGTGGCCGACCTCAGGGATGTAGCAGAATGTGCGCTGCTTGCTCTGGAACCACGACGAGAGCCTGTAAGATTCGAACCAGCAGGCTAATCGCTTAAGGCAAGTGCCTACACTGATGTCAACATTTTGCAGAATACCACACTGATAATGGAAACATCAGTGGCAGTGACTGGGTTTTAGAATCTTTAATGCAATTTCGGATTAACCTATCCATGCTTTGAGTTAAGTTGGCGGAACATGGGTATTGCGATTTCACATTTTTGAGAAGGTACAAAACCTTTTTGCAGAATCCTATACACTCAGAGTCCAAATAAATAAATATTGGTTAAAAACTTGATTGAATTTGGTAAAAAATGGAAATCATCAATAACCACGTAGGTATAAGAGATGATAACTCTTTATGAAGCATAAGAGAATATTTTGAAACAGTTTCTAAGTATATGCAGGTAGTTACAAATTTTGAAGCAATTGTGGATTTTTCTGATACTTTAACTTTTGAAACCCATGCACTTGATGTTCTATCGTCTAAAGCTAAAAGTGTAGATTTGTTTAAGGATCTATTGTTGTGTAATACAATTTACATTGGACTGGTTTAGTTTTGCAATGAATAAGTAGATAGGTACTAATAGTAGGTTTATTTTCTATAATTATGAAATATTATGTGCTTTAGACTAAATCAAACATGAGTTAGATGCATCTATTATTTTGAAAACCATGCCCTTAGCTATTCCTAGAAAGCGTTCATTCAATTTGGATTCGTGTGTGTTGATTAGCTTTAAATATGACAAATGATTATTAAAAGTAATTTCATAATTGAAAATTGTTTGGCTAAGCAATTTCTTTACACGACTTTTTTATTAAGTAACTAATGCTAGGCTTTTTATATTTGTTTTTGTAGATGTGTCAACAGTTATTTATGAACACGTGCATTTGAATATTAAAGCTTAAATTCAAATTCCAATTTGAAGCATGATAATGAATTTTCTGATTATTTTGATGCATTTACTTGTTTTTCATTCTCATTAGCTACCAATGCCAAGCCAATTTGCGTCTCTATTTCATTAGCTTTAAAGAACATTTTAGAATCATTATCATCTGAATCAAAGCTTTGAAAATCTGCGATGTCAGCATCTATCCCAAATTTGGTTGAGCCGTTTGATTGTGGGTTAGCAGATGAAGCAAAATTAAAATTGTATGTAACCTGAGGGTTTTCGGTGAAGCTGATGGCTTTGGTGTGGTCGTGCTGTCGATAACGAAACCATTATGAGTGTTGGACAATGATTACTTGTGTAGTAAAAAGAAACAGTTGTAGTAAAGTAAAATAACATTAGCTTCAAGAAAAAACATCAAGAAAGACTGTAAATAGAAAATAAGCTGAATTAAAATAAAATTGTGACAAAGAATAGTTAGCAGAAGTAGGTAACTAGAAAATAAAATAAGAAATACAAAGAAAAAGGTACGCCTACACACACATGGGGTTAATTAACATAAACTTCGTTTGGTGATTAGAAATTGCATCAAATTACCGATGAAAGTAAAAACAAAAAAAAATCTGTACAACACCTCCCCTTAACTTAAATCCCTTTCACTATAATACAATACATTAATTTTAAAAGAAATCGAATTGAAATAAAATGATTATGCAATATTTTATCACCAATCGGAACTAGACTGCGTTAAAAATATATCATACGCTTATCGTAGTAGGGCCTTGGTAATTTGATGCAACACCATTCTTCTTGTTTCGTTATTTATGTACCTGGGCCAGGCGAGTGCGGTCTCAGCTCTTGCTGGCTGGCTTGCCGCGATGGCGGTCGCATACTTATGCGGGAACCTCGGCGATCCTAAAATTAATATTAATATTGGGAGACCGCTACCGCAATGGTTAGTTATTCTTCTTTTTCGCGAATAGGCTAGTTTCCTAAAAATTTTTTTTAGTCCGTCATGTTTAATATCAAAATATATCGGACACATTATATTTTTATTTGTCAATCTAACAAATAATTACATAGTTATGGTGCGTTGAAGTTCCGCACGACGTCACAACGTGCGGCACTTTTAAGCAAGCACTGACGTCACGGGCCTCTTCTTATAAACTCTGGCGCGCTTTATCTCTTTAAATTTTCATTGTTTTGAAAAAGTGAAAAATACGTGTAGAGTATTTTTTGATAAGTTAACTGACGGACTAATTAAAACTCTTGCTTTTTGACCCAGGAAACATCCCTATTGCCGACGCGATCTGCACGCGTTGGTTTGGCTGAAGCTTAATTTCGTTGAAGTTTCAATGACAGTCCAGCATTTTACTGATCCTAACTCATTAGCTTCATTAGTTGAGTCATTTTGAGGGACAAGCTGTAGATCAGTCAGTCAGGTCAGGTAGAGTTACAGTGGTGAAACCAAATTCAATCCTGTTTAACCCTTAAGTAACACCGTGGGGTAATTTTTTACCCCAGGCGCATAAAAATTGAAATATCTTTTTTTCTAGCGAAGCTAGTGCAATGTCGTCAAGTTATGAAAAAATCATCCGTTTGGCTTTTACAGGTAGCTGGGGTAAAAATTTACCCCAGCATGTTAGTTACGCATGCTTTAATTTATCATCACCTAATATGTTATTCATAGGTTTTTATAATATTTAAACAAAATGAGTAAATTCATAAATGACGATCAAGTAGCATGTTGTCTCGAGAATGCAGAGAGATAAATAGAACTTGATTTACATGATACTTTTCGAACTTTGAAGACTTCCCTCAGAACAGAGAGTTCATAAATTCGACACAGAAATTAGAGCTCGAAAGTGATAATTACGTAATAATTCTATGTGTTTGATGTGTTTTGAAAATAATAATTAGGAACAAAATAAAATAAAAAATAATTTCTCATAATTTTATAAAAAATAGTTTTTTTATTTTGCTTTGTTATAAGTCCAGAAATTTTCGTTTTAATTAACTTTTAGTTTAAAATATTATGTATAAATCATCTATTTGATGTCCGATTAGTGTAAGTTTTTGGTTCCCACAATAACTTTCCAAGATTTTTCTAGAAGACTATTACTTGCATATGAAAAATTCTTTGTTTTTTGTTATGATTAATTTAAGATGTTTTTTTACGCTAGATACACGATTTTTTAAAGCAATCGTATAATTCAGTGAGCCCGCTAATACATATAAATCACAAATTGAATTGATTTTTAATATTTACTTAAAATTTTCGATTTCCGTTTGGGGTAATTTTTTTACCCCAGGGTGTTCAATGTGTAACCAAAAATAAGGATGTTACTTAAGGGTTAAAAGTAGATTTTCATTACAGTGTTTGTGTGTGGCGCCATTGATATAATTTACTAGCTAGAATTCGCGATCCGAACACTCGCTTTGTTCAACTGAACTGCAATCCTTTGACACTTACTTTAATACCTTGACATTCATGTAAGCAAACTAGTGCTGCAAGTTTCAAGTTTGGTTAGACGTCAGAACTACATATTGCAGTAGCTGCAGCAAACTTCAGTTTTAATTCTTTCAAAATGGAGCAAGGATTTTTCTTATGACAGCATATTCCTTTATAAGTACCTCTATGGGTGGCACCTGATTAGTCTAACGGTGTATGATTCGCCGACATAAACAACTTCATAGGTTTTATGTAAAAAACGTGATCTGAACTTATTCTTTACATCTTTGCCAACCTTCAATAAAGTTATTTTACCCAAATATTCTTAGTCAGTATTTTGTAATAGAAATAGATGTCACCCTAGTTTAAGCTTCTGTAAGGAGGTGACTTGCATATCTCACTAAGTTGACCTCTAAGTATTCCACAGTTGGCTTCGAGCCAGCGGGAAGAGTCATGGTCACGTAGAACGAAACGCAAAATTCTACAATAAAACATAGAAAATGGCTGCCTTTATGGCTTGCAATTTTCATAGTTATTTCGCTTGATGGCTATTTAAATTCTAAATAATGGACTGAAGTTTAAAATTTCTTAGTTTTGTGACCCATTTTCTCAACTTTACCAATCAGGGATTAAATTAGCGGAGCGTTCGAACATAATGTATCTCTCACACACAATATAGGTTCGTTTGCATGACAAAGATTTGAAGATGCGACAGAACGTTACTTTTGATGCATCGGGCTCCCAAATAGTTTATGAATATTACACGCTTTTTAATATTTTTTAATATTTATTTTATATTGCACACTTTGCGAATTAGAATTCTAGAGTGATTAAAAAATTATGTCCTCTGAAGTCCAACGTTGCACCAACTGTTTCACGATTGATTTTTTTTATCTCTTTAAAACCCGTGAAACCATCAAATGGAGAACGATAGAGTTAAACAGGTTCTTCTGGATCATTTTTACAATGTTACCTGCGAATGCAACAACTTGGAGTCTCTCAAGAGCGATACGTTCATCAGCCGAGGGTTTGGTGTGTTGAAGATGGTGCGGTTTTCCCTCCATCGCGCTCTGAAATAGGAAGCAACAGACTCTTATCACATCTGTTATCAATAAACCACCCTCAACCCAAATTATGTCAGATTCAAAAACATTTTTTGAACCCTGTTTTGCCTTCAAAAAGCTACAAATTACAAATTAAAATGTAAGACTATTTTCCAGATTGAGAAAAAGAGAAACAAGACAGCCTTGTACCTTATCGTTATCAAAAGGTCAAGGGAAAAAATAATAACAATTGATTTCCAAATAATAATTTGTGACATTATAAAGCGTGGGCAGGCCTCCTACTAGGTGGACCGACGATCTGGTAAAGGTCGCGGGAAGAGCCTGGATGCGGGCAGCGCAGGACCGTTCATTGTGGAAAACCTTGGGGGAGGCCTTTGTCCAGCAGTGGACGTCATTTGGCTGAAACGAACGAACGACATTATAAAATTACATCAGTCAGGAAACTGCCTAAATTATAATTTGATGCCACATAAATAGGCTAGATGACAAAATTTCAATTATTTGTCCGTCAGACAGATAATTAGAAAGTATTAGACTCATATTTTTTATTTTCTTTTATAATTCAATAATAACAATGCTACATCGAGTTGAAATGGCGCGATACGTCACGCTTGAGTAGAATTTTTACTCAAAAGTGACGTCACGCGACATTTCAACTCAATATAATACTATAATTATTGGATTATGGAAGAAATTAAAAAATATGAGTCTAATATTTTCCAATTATCTGTCTGACGGACTAAATTGAATTTCGATTTAATTACCCAGTCATCATCCCTATTGGTACATAGACGAATTTTATGCCATGCATTCTCAATGAGGGCTATCGTTTTAGCGCTCACCAATTTGCGCCACTGTAGAGTAAGGTCCTGTCACTTGCTAGTAGCGAAGACAGTGGTACCATCTGGTGAGTGCTAAAGTGGTAGGAGGACTATCGCATTTGCACTCATCAAGATGGCGCCACTGTAGAGTAAGGTCCTGTCACTTGCTAGTAGCGAAGACAGTGGCACCATCTGGTGAGTGCTAAAGTGGTAGGAGGACTATCGCATTTGCACTCATCAAGATGGCGCCACTGTAGAGTAAGGTCCTGTCACTTGCTAGTAGCGAAGACAGTGGCACCAACTGGTGAATGCTAAAGTGGTAGGAGGACTATCGCATTTGCACTCATCAAGATGGCGCCACTGTAGAGTAAGGTCCTGTCAATCGCCAGGGGTGCCAACTGTTAAGTATAAAAACGATAGCCCTCATTGGACGAACAAAAAAAAACATTTGACAGTAAACTTACCGACTAAACAGGCGGAGCACGACGCAGATGATGACGAACATCAGCGCCATGGCCACCAGGATGCCGATCATAGCCGGGTCCAGGGTCTTGGTCGACTCCTCTATTCTCTTCTCCGCTACAAATTATTATATTTTTCCAAATATCAGTTACAATATAATATTTCACTGATCCTAACTCATTAACTAGCTTCTAATGAAGCTAAACTAATGTTTAGTCATTTTGAGGGACAAGCTGTAGTAGATCAGTGAGTCAGGTCAAGTAGAGTTACAGTGGTGAAACCAAATTCAATCCTGTTTAAAAGTAGATTTTTATTACAGTGTTTGTGTGTGGCGCCATTGATATAATGTACTAGCACTAGAATTCTCGATCCGAAATATTAGTTACAATATAATACACTCGGCATCAAATAAATCGCACCTCCCGCGACAAGCACTTATCAAACGTATGCATCCCCACTTCCCACCAACGTTGGTACCATTTGAAAGCCTAGTTCTAAAATTCATTTCATTAAAGGAAAGGTTTTTACCCCAAAAATGTGTTTTTTAAGGATCCAGAGTCACTTCTTCAAAAAAAAGGTAGTTACGCTATAGCCATTTTTATGACTATAAAACTGTTAAGTTGGGATTAATCGCTATCCATCTGTTAAAGAGGACACGTGAGATCTTTATTTGGTTTTATAACCATAAAAATTGGTCTAATTGATCCCAGAGGTGAGCCCAAAGTGAGGTCTAGTGAGTGAGGTTAAGTCACATTTATGGTATATGTTAATAATTTATTTAGAAATGAAATGTATTTTTCTTTAAGGATATTTATTGGGCTTTCAAATAACACCAATATTGTCGGGGTACCATAATTTTGTCAGAAGAAAATCTTTAAAGTTCGCGTCGCGAAAGGTGCGGTTTATTTGATGTTGAGTGTAGTTAGAAAGCATTTTAACTTTCCTCTGGGACTAAACTTGACCTCACTGTTTGGGTTTTTTATTGGCAGTCAAACTATACAGGGTGTTAGGTAAATGGGTATATGAGCGGACACTAGCCCATGTTAACATGGGCATATAAATGGTATGGTGAAGTCAGAAAATCTATATCTTCATTTTAATTCTTTTAATTTTCATACAAATCGGATTTTATAAAATTTATTTTGTATAAAAATTAATATGATGATATCAAATTTCTGACTTCACCATACCATTTATATGCGCATGTAAACACGGGCTAGTGTCGGCTCATATACCCATTTACCTAACACCCTGTATAGATCCTGCCTACACAGGAGTTGCAGTGGTGGGAACTAGAGGTGGGGATACTCTCGTAAAAAGCATTTTACTTTGAAATGTTTTACGCCACCTAGCTCCGTTAGTTTTTACCAATGTCAAAATAAGAAGCGAGTTGTTTTCAAGTCGGGAGGGTAAATATTATTTACCGTTAAAATAGATATTGTTGCAATAAATCCCGTGAAGTGATAATTTTATTGTTTTCAAGTCTTGCAAGTGAAGAACACTTAATTAAATTTTCCATTTCACTCATGGTGATGTTCATATTGTTCATATTGGACGACAGAGACAGATATGAAAACAGATGTATTGTAAAACTACTGTTTTGAAACAGCCACCCTTGACATAATACCTACCTTCGTTCCTGATAGTTTCAATAATTACTAAATCACTTCGCTCGGGTTTTTCTGCGTCATTACTCCGCGAAGAGATAGCGAAACTTCACTTTCGCCCGCATTCACAAACGATGCTGGCTTAAGTGAAGCCGCAAATCGTACGCACAGCGTTGAATGACGCTCTGTGATTGGTTCGTATGTCACCCTGTGCGTCCACGCGCACTGTGAGTAATGTTACCTCATAGTAATGTGTGTGAATACGGGCGTTAGTCTAGGTAAGCAGATATTATGAACTAGCTTTCCGCCCGCGTGAAATTGTTTCTGTCACAGAAAAACCATATCGCGTGCCCAAGTCAAAGTCAAAGTCAAAATTTCTTTATTGTTTAGACTAATAAATAGTTCTTACAAATCGTCATATGCTCTTAAGGAGCCTCAGCCTCTACATGTCTCATAATCTTTTTACCCTACCAGCGCTTCGAGACCAACATTTGGCAAGTGCTGAGAAGAAGCGCCCTGTTTCAAAAACCGGGATAAAAACTATCCTATGTTCTTTCCCGAGACTCAAACTATCTCTATGCCAAATTTCATCAAAATCGGTTCAGTGGTTTAGGCGTGAAAGCGAGACAGACAGACAGAGTTACATTCGCATTATAGTATAGAATGTAGATTACCTGTACACACAATCCCGTCGACCGTCTCTGTGGGCACCATTTCGAACTTGCACACGCACCGTTCGTTGCGGCACTCGGTCTTGAAGTCCGCCTCCTCGCATTGCTCGTTGAAGCCGCATGTTTGGTTTATTCCAGCAGCTGGAAAATAGAAATATAAATCGTTGATAAATTGATTCAAGTGCCACACAATGTCTAAATATACAACGACCTTTAGCTTTATTCTAGCGATTAAATTCTATGCAAGTTCCAGGACAGCTTCATTGCTTTGGGCATGGTTGGGGTGAATTAACATCGAGTGGACTAACCAAGCGGCCAAACTGTAGATGCTGCCTTAACAAGAGTTGTGATGCTATCCTAGCATCACAACGCGATGAGCGCTACAAAAATACTATAAAACTAGTAACTACTAATACGGCTTATTTATACGGCCATAATATAATTTAATAATAATGTTCGTGCCTGATCCAATAAAAGTGCCTAGCGGGATTCAAACTCGCAACTATTCTAGTAGGTATACGAAAAAATCATACATCAGGAGCAACGCAATTCGGCAAGGCGATAACTTTACTCTACAGTCCCTTAAAGTGTCAGAATAAATAATAATCCAAAAATTATACAATAACTAATCGCCAAGGCCGCGCATGCATAATATTGTTTGACATAAACATCCTGATCACGCGACATGCAACTTTAAGCTCCGCATTGATCGCTCGGGTTTTTCCTTTTAACCCTCATTTCAACCCCACGGTAATTTTCACTGCGTGTAAATTGATTTATATTGTATAACGAGTTCCCTTTTTGCTATAGCAAAGTTAGAAATGGAATCAAATGGGAAAAAATCCTACAAAAACATCAACAATAGTTTCAGTTTGATCAAAAATTTTGTTTTGCACTTTTTGTGTGAAAGAGTTACAAACATTTACAATATTAGTAGGATATTTTATTACTCCAAAATGGAATTGAATGAGAGAAGACACTTCAAAGAACATCAAAACGAAGAGTATAATAGACTAAAAACAGCCTTTCAGCCGAAACATCAAACAAGGACGCCTGAAAAAGCGCAGACAAGGAAAACCCCTCAAGGTTACTGAAAACATAATGTCTGCTCAAATTTCGTTCCCCGGGGAATATTTAGTGTACCTTCGAACCTGCTCCGCCCCGGCCTGATTTAAAAATCGATGAGATCCCAGCGAAAGCAACAGAGATACACGAAACACAAAGAGCACGTCAGCCACGTCCGTTCAGTTGAGATCGGATCCATTCAAAAGAGCAAAGTGGAACGAAGCTATTACATCGTGCCACGAAAAATATGAATTACCTTAGCATTAACTTAATGAGCGATTTTGATGTAAATTGTTGGGATTATTAAGACGTTGAAAACGTTCTTTAACTTGTAGTTGATGGATTTGTGAATTTTAATTTCTTCGAAATAATAACTTTGATCCATGAGATTATTACGTACACGAACACATAAATTTTAAAGAGGTAATTGGATATTAGCATACATATGTATAATTTGGTTTCACAATTTATTTTAACCTGTTTATTTATAATATTTTAACTTTACTTAGTTCAAAAACTGATACAGTTATTAGTTTCTGAACTTTAATAATGAAAAAGCTTCTACCATCATCAGCTACAACTACTAGGTTTAAAAGCAGGTTAAGATTTTTTAGGCCCTCCTAGATACATCAAAGCAATGGGCATACCTTCTGCCTACTATTCATACCACAAATAAGTGATGTTTGATCTGATGTCCACGGTTATAGACACCGATATCATTGGGCTACTCACTCATTGAATTAAGTCCACTTTTCCCTCACTTCTCGACGTGGTTGCTGACTGGCACGTCTTCTGACCACTATCTGTCTAGAGTTCGTGATATCCAAAGTGGTCAATAACTTGACAACACAACCTTTAAGCCAATTGCAACAAAAATGTGTTGCGAACTTTTTGGCTACTTTGGGAACTATTTGATTCTGATTGTGCCACATATTTTAAATAGACAACATATCAAACTGACCTTTCCCACACTTATCGACGTGTTAACTTTACTTTGTACGTGTTTACGTAACTTTTGTTTTATTTGCGTTAAACCTTATCATATTATTAGTTCGTATCTTGAAGAAAGTGTATCAAACCCATATTTCCCACACTTATCTATGTGGTTGCTGACTGGCACTGACATATCTGATGGCCACGGCCATAGATACTGGCACCACTAGCTATTATTGCCTCACTCACGTTGTATTAAACCCACCTTTCCCACACTTATCGACGTGGTTCCTGACTGGCACGTCCGGGTGGCACTGGCACGTCTTCTGCCCGATGTCACACACGGCGTCCGGGAACGTGCAATCAGTGGCCAGGTGCATGCGTCTTCATACCACTATCATATACAGTCAGTGTCAAATAATTCGTGACATCTAAAGTGGCCAATAAGTTAGAAACACAACCTTAATCCAATTGTAGTAAACTTTTCGGCTACTTTGGGTGTCATGAACTATTTGATTCTGACTGTGCCACATATTTTAAATAGACAACATATCAAACTGACCTTTCCCACACTTATCGACGTGGTTGCTGACTGGCACGTCCGGGTGGCACTGGCACGTCTTCTGCCCGCTGTCGCACACGGCGTCCGGAAACGTGCAGTCAGAGTCCAAGGTGCACGCGTCTCCGATCGCCCCCCGGTCTGGTTCTGGAAGAAAAAAGAACAATTAGGTTCAATACCTTAATAATCATTTATTGCTTCCATTATGAACTTTATTAGAACATTATAACACTAGAAAATTTCTCAAGTGCTTATGTGGCTCAGATGGTCAGTCGTCCGGCAACCGAAAGGTCGTGGGTGCAATTCCCACCTCAGACAATTCGATTTTTTCAAGTTATTTATAATTATGGGCTCTGTAGTGCTCGGCTACGAACTTGCTCCTTATTTCAAACAAATGTCGCGTGGTACAAGGCTATGGTTACCTACACACTGAAAATATCTAATTCTTAGATTAGCACCATAACGTTAGATATTATTACCACATAACAACATTATGGCGTGACCACAAGATGCATTGCAACGCAATATGGCGATCATGTATCATTTCGAATTAAGGGCTTCAGCCGGCGTTCATGCCCCATGCTGAAAATATTGTTACGACACTTTTTGAATCATAAAAAGATGCAAAATTTATCCAAAATCCAAAGACTATGAGATACTACTGTTTATGTTATTGTTGTCCTAAATATTTGAGATATCGCTCATTGATGATTTCTATTACAACATCATATTTTAATTTGTTGCAAACAAAGAACTCGAGGGTCTGGAGTCAGAAAAAAACAAAAGAGTAGCGAAATTGGACGTCGAGAAACAAGAAAAGGAAAAAGAAACAAAAAGAAAAATAAGTTTCTTGATGGCCAGTGTCACGCGGCCAAGGAGGCGACCATGTGCGACCGCAATAAATGTTGTTATTGTATAAATAAAGAACTGCGTGTTTTGATTTCTTAATTTGAAATTATTTTTATATGGTCAGAGTGTGATGTTGCTTAATTTTATTTTTTTGAACAGTTAACAGTTATATAAAAAATGAAAGATAAAAATGTTTGGAATTTTTAACTGCCTACATCAATATTTATGTATTTGTGACTGAGTTTCTTGCGCTGCCCATTTATTGTCCTGAAGCAGTGTAGGGTTAACTGGGGCGTGTAAAAGTGCTTTTTAAAAGCCTATTTGCAAAAATGACTGACTTTTTATGAACAGCTTGTCTATTTTCATCAGTAGTCCTTAGCCAAAAAGCGTAATACCGCAGCTTAATTCATTCAACATTCGCCTTCAATGCTCGGAATATGTTAATGGTCGACCCGCATACAGATGCATTGCGGATAACGCCACTTAACAGTGCGATCTGGTTATGTAACGTATTGATAACATTATTTGGTTAATTGCTTACGTGAGCAAATCGTATGATGTAATAAAATAATATTGATTTAGAGTAATGTTGTCTTTACATGGACCTAAGAACAACTTAACTTCATTTCCGAATTATTTATTTATTTATTTCACTAAAAATCTCTCTAACATTACATATATACCTACCAATGCGATAGAGTAGATTAATTAGTATATATACTATCTCTGACTTTTGAAAATATTTTTTAACAATAGAAAGCAACATTACATGGGAGGTACGAAATTCGCCGGGACAGCTAGTTAATTACAAACTAAAATAGTCTTAACATGCCAATGCTCAGAAGATACTTACAGATATCAAGAAACTGATTGCAAACGAACGTGTTAACGTAATGTTTTCAATAACACTCAAAAAAGCTCGCAATTCGTAAATAATCAATCAACTACGTTACATCACCAAGCCAGGTTCATACATCGCGCCATGTAAATGCTTCAGTTTACCTCTCTAAAGATAGCGGGGCTCGCAGACGCGTGCCTCATGAAATATGAAAGAGGAGGGACTAGGGAACGGGGTCGGAGGGTCACGTGGTAAAGATAGGCTTAGTCAGTTTTAGGCCTATTTTCTGCCGTTTAAAACTCTATGGTGGTTTCTGAATTGATTTGTTTATATTAACTTCTAAGGATATTTTTTTTAAATCAAATTCATACGGAAGTAGAGACTGAGTATTCAAACTTTAGCATAGTTCTTCAAGTTATTATTATTTAAATACTAGTTATAAGATTGTATTCAAGGACGCTTAAAACTCGATTCAAACTCAAGCATATTATTATATTAAAGTCTGATATTGATTGAATTTCAATATTAAGACCAATTACAGGCTGAAACTCTAGGAAAATACCAACTAAAGGTAACACTTTAGCTCGTTTTCGCTTAGAACCATATTCTGAAATTACTTTCATCTTATTTCATTCTGAATCGACTTTCAGATACGGCTTTTAGCACCACATGCTGGCAGCAATATCAAGTTACAATCGCTTTTTACTTACCTATCAGAGTTTTAATTTCAGTTCGTAAATTGCCAGTAAAATCGATAATATGACTATCGACACTTGTCTACTTAGTATGAAAATGGGAATTCGAATGCTTTAAAAGTACTTCCCTAATTACTAGCCAAGCGACGCCACAGGCACTAATAAGACTGTAATAATGGGAGGTATTTAATTTACTATCATTATCGTAATTTTCCATTACAGCAGGTCAAAACTTTTTGTTATGATCTTTCATTACAACATCAAATACCAATACACCATCTCCCAGTAGATACATTTATTTAAAATGCTAATTTGTCGATTTAAAGGTCATAGCAGACTTATCAACTCGGAAAGATCAATCAACATCGCTTTTCTCGAACTGTCATCGCCTTTCGCGCACTGTCAACTGCGAAGCAGGACGTTTACGTTACGGTGCGGATAAGTGTGCGTTGCAGCATGGAGTTTCATACAAAGAATACTGACCGCCTCGAGTTGATACGGTTACGATCCCTTTCCGGGTTGAAAAGTGTGCTACGTCCTTTACTCACAACTCACACATTGTTTTGTGAGCTCACCATGCTACACTAAACGGCACAAAATCGTTAAACAAGGCTGCATCATGTTTAAACTGCGCTCGCTAGTCACTAAATAAACTGACCGTAGTTGAGTTTGCAATGTGATTTTAGCTGACGCTAGCCGGTCTGTCAACAATTTTGTGTGCTAAAGGAGACTGGGCGAAACCCACCCGAAGGGGCATCAAAATCTGATCCGGCAGTTTTGAGAAAAAATTCAGCAAACTCTAAAATATTAGAAGCTAATAAAAACGTTTTTATACAAACGTGTCTCTTTTGTAATGGACCAAACTTGGAAGTAAATTGGTAACACAGAGCGTTTGCTACTACCAGTAAACTGCATTTTTTGAGTTGCTTGTTAATTTAAACTTTTCGATTTCTAGTTGCATATTTACCTAGTGTGGTCTACCAACTGATACTCGGTCTTTCAATTTTATTCTGATTGTTTCTCGGTCGATCTTTTGGTATTTATTTCTACATGAAATGTAGATACATTTTGCTTAGTTAGGTACCAAAATACCGCTTAAATCAGTTTCTTGAAAACTCGTTGTAGGTACTTTGTTTAATTTACTAATTCACTTTAAACTCAATGCCAATAATATCTATGATAAAAAAAAAAAAAAGTCTATCTTGTCTGTGGTAGTAAATAAATATGGAGTATTTTTGCCGGTCAACATTGTTTTTATTAAATCCAATTAAATCTCGAACATTTTGGTCCAAACGAGCTGGATTTATATACAACCAAATACATTAATAGTGAAAAGTAACAAGTACAGTAAAATCAGTGTAAATTTTGTGCGAATTCCTGTAAAATATCTACAACAACAGTGAGTTATACCGACCGCCATGGAATTTGATAAATTGGTAAAGTCACAGGTAAGCGTTTACGACAACATATCGAAGCTACTCCTAAACTACAAGAAAACGGGAAAAGAACGGCTAACTAAAGGGTTTGTTGAGGCACGGATGGAGATGGCAGACAAATATTGGGACAAATTCGAGCAACAACATAACACGTTGTTGTCGGCGGAACCTGAGTACCAACAAAAGTCGGAATATTTCACTAAAGACATCTATGAGCAGTGTTTTGATAACTATCTTGATCTAAAAACGCGTATGAAGGAAAAACTGAACTCATTTGAATGTACACAACCATCTAGTGTCGCAGCAAATAATTCCACAACAGAACAATCACTTTGTCCAAACATGAAACTTCCACCAATACAGTTGAGTACATTTTCTGGTGACTATAGAGATTGGCTGTCTTTTCGAGATGTGTTCAAATCATTGGTTCACGACAAGACTTGAGATATCCCCACAAGAAAAAGTCGCATGGTGTGAGATCTGATGACCGAGGCGGCTAGAAAAAATAGTCCTCAGTGTCTCCATCGAGGTACTCTCCGTGTGTGGTGAGGTGTGGTGAACCATGAGTGCATCAGATTCACTCCCGAAGATATCGGAACGATAAACGTCACCATCTTATTCACGTATTTCTGATATTCGGTTTGGCCGAAGCTTCGGCTGGTTTTTGGCCGAAAACGAAAATATGGCCGAATGTCCATTTTTTGGCCGAAAATGGCCGAAAACGAAAACGAATATTCGGTCGGTCACTATCTATGTTTTATACTTTTTTTGATACCTTTTGTTTAGTTTTGAAGTTTATGTTTTTGATAGCCGTTGTGGGCATATTTTGCAGGAATACATCTTCATTTAAACCGAGGGATTTTCTTATTTCACGCCCGATCGGCTGTCCACCACAATGTGCTTATTTCTAAGAATAAAGCTAAGTAATCCAGTAGTAGTAGAGCTTACGACATGAAGCTTTTCATTGATGAAGTCTATAATTAAGTGAATTTACCTCATGAAGAACACTGCGAGTGGAGTCGTTCATTTTGTCGAATTCATCAATGCAGCATATTCCGTTGTCGGCAAGTACCAATGCACCTCTGTAGACAAAAACGGTTATTTAGAAACAGCATTCTGTAATAAGAAAAAGAGGTGCTAAGATGTTCTTCTTCTTTAGCACCTTCTGCGCTGTATTTTTGTACGGTTGATGTGGCGCTACGCAGCGCTGGCGTCGCAACTTTTTTTTTTACATGTAACGCAACCTCCTTTCGCCGCTGCGCAGGCGCTAGCGAGACGAAGACGTTTGAAAGACGCTAGTGAGTATAAAGACGACTAAATTCTGAAGTGTTAAAAAAATGTTTGCTCAATGTCATTAACAATATGGTGTAATTTAGCTTGTCTCAAGTCATTTTGGTGACAAACGTCAGTGATCGGTACTGCGCCGAAGCCATAGGGCTGACTTCGGTAAAATGATGTGTGACGTGAGGTGCCAAACTGCAGAAAATGGCGGAGGAAATACATGATTATGCATGAATTATCATGAATAATATTATAAGATCGTGCTTGTTTTGTTTTCGATTTACTCACGGAGATGAACAGGCCTGGTTTAACTAACAAAAAAATGGCCGATCGTCTTTGGCAATATGTGGTCCGCACTCACGTTTGCAACACCAGCTGGCGCGTGTCGGGGTCCTTGGTGACGTAGGCGGTGAGCCCGACGGCGGAGGAGCCGCGGCCCGACGTGTGCTGCGCGCGCGGCCGTGTGTAGCGTACTCACGTCTGCAGCACCAGCTGGCGCGTGTCGGGGTCCTTGGTGACGTAGGCGGTGAGCCCGACGGCGGAGGAGCCGCGGCCCGACGTGTGCTGCGCGCGCGGCCGTGTGTAGCGTACTCACGTCTGCAGCACCAGCTGGCGCGTGTCGGGGTCCTTGGTGACGTAGGCGGTGAGCCCGACGGCGGAGGAGCCGCGGCCCGACGTGTGCTGCGCGCGCGGCCGTGTGTAGCGTACTCACGTCTGCAGCACCAGCTGGCGCGTGTCGGGGTCCTTGGTGACGTAGGCGGTGAGCCCGACGGCGGAGGAGCCGCGGCCCGACGTGTGCTGCGCGCGCGGCCGTGTGTAGCGTACTCACGTCTGCAGCACCAGCTGGCGCGTGTCGGGGTCCTTGGTGACGTAGGCGGTGAGCCCGACGGCGGAGGAGCCGCGGCCCGACGTGTGCTGCGCGCGCGGCCGTGTGTAGCGTACTCACGTCTGCAGCACCAGCTGGCGCGTGTCGGGGTCCTTGGTGACGTAGGCGGTGAGCCCGACGGCGGAGGAGCCGCGGCCCGACGTGTGCTGCGCGCGCGGCCGTGTGTAGCGTACTCACGTCTGCAGCACCAGCTGGCGCGTGTCGGGGTCCTTGGTGACGTAGGCGGTGAGCCCGACGGCGGAGGAGCCGCGGCCCGACGTGTACTGCGCGCGCGGCACGAGCGCGTGCACCCAGCGCAGCAGCTGCGACTTGCTGGTGCCCGGGTCGCCGCACAGAAGGATGTTGATCTCCGACCTGGAGGAACGATCCAGGTTCCAAATTCAAAAACAGAATAAGATGCGTCGGGACTGTACCGAGAAGATCGGCAAGACCTGGAGCGAGATCAAGCGAGAAGCTCAAGACCGAACGAGATGGAGGACTGTTGTGGACGCCCTCTGCCCCATCTAGGGGACATAGGACCATAAGTCAAGTAAGTCAAGGGCTGTACCATCCCGAGCACCTGACTTAAGCTTCAGCTAAACCTAGGCGCAGACTACCGATTTTTAGTTGGCCGATAGACCCGATAAATCGGCCGATACCAAATCGGTGTAATGCGCACTTTCATACATCTCCGTACTGATCAATAGCCCGACCCAACTATGGCCGAAAAATCGGTGGTCTGCGCCTAGGCTAAACCAACGCCTGCAGATCGCGTCGGCGATGGCGATCACTGCGCGTGTATAAACCAATGACAGGACGCGCGCCCTCTCATTGGTCGTTTTAAAAAAAAAAGAGGGAACATGGCATTTTCGAGTTTGTATGTATTGAAGATACAAAAAGTATTAATTAAATTATGTCGGCCGTTTGGTGTAGTGGTTCGAAACGGACTACTATTCCGGAGGTAGCGGGTTCGATTCCCGCACAGTACAAACATTTGTGTGCATGAACATATTTGTTTGTATTGGACTGGGTGTTTTCTATGTATAATAAGTAATATATTCTATGCATTTACAAAAATTAAGTATTTAAGTATGTTTATATCCGTTGTCTAGTACCCATAGTACAAGCTTTGCTTAGTTTGGGACTAGAAGCGCAGTGTAAAATGTCCAAGGATATTATATTATAAATACTTGAGAATACACGGGACAACAAGCAATAAATATCATAACCATATTAAATTCATACCTGAAATGAGTTCTCCCAGCAGCATTAAAGTTCTTCTTAGTTCCGCCTAGCAGTTGCAGCAACACGCCCTTCTTGATGTCAATGTTCTCGTAGATGGAAGGCGCTATGGCTCGCGCTAGACGCTCGTAACAGTCCGGCTGGCTTGCTAGGGCCTTGAACAGCTCAATACGTTCTGGCGGGAAGCGGTGTTCTTTTCTATAAAGAATAAAGTCGAAAATGACAAAATATTTGCGAAGATAAATATAGCTTTCTGCATCAAGGACTCAAATTATAAATAAAGCTTGTAAAAACATAACACCCCTGTTTCTTTCGCGCGTTCGCCCTCAATGAGGGTTTTCGCGAATGAAAAATCCGCCAGGTGGCAATACGTAGACGCGAGGTCCAAATGCTGCATGATTGGTTATTTTTGACATTGACAGATATGTCAAAATCCACCAATCACGCAGCAGTCAGACCCCACATCCACGTCCCGCCATCTAGCGGATCGTTCATTCGCGAAAACCCTCATTGGTGCGCCGTAGAATTTCACCTCTGTGGTCACAAAGCGCCATGACGTCATACTAGTTACTATTCACTTACGCCTCCTCAGTCTCCAACAGCCTATCGCTGTGCACTTTCTTATAGTGAAGCGCATCAATATGTGTTCTATGCAGAGCCTTGTGTCGTTTTGCGCGGGTTAACAGAAGCGGGTGCGGCGCAGAAGACGCTCGTTACTGTGGGTGCTATGACGTCGCTCTAAATTCTATGTTAACACTCACCCTTCTTCAGTCTCAAGCAGCCTATCGCTGTGTACTTTCTTATAGTGCAAAGCATCGATATGTGTTCTATGCAGCGCCTTCAGCGTGGCTTTACGTGGGTTGACAGAGGCGGGTGCGACTCGGAAAACGCCCGTCATCACTTTGGACAGAATGGCGGCTGGTATGACGTCACACTAGTTACTACACACTCACCCTTCTTCTGTTTCCAGCAGCCTATCACTGTGTACTTTCTTATAGTGCAGCGCGTCAATATGTGTTCTATGCAGCGCCTTTAGTGTCGCTTTGCGAGGGTTAACAGAGGCGGGCGCAGCGCAGAAGACGCCCGTTACTGTGAGTGCTATGACGTCACTTTAAAATTCTATGTTAACACTCACCCTTCTTCTGTTTCCAGCAGCCTATCGCTGTGCACTTTCTTATAGTGAAGCGCATCAATATGTGTTCTATGCAGGGCCTTCAGCGTAGCCTTGCGTGGGTTAACAGAGGCGGGTGCGGCGCAGAAGACGCCCGTTACTGTGGGTGCTATGACGTCACTCTGAATTCTATGTTAACACTTACCCTTCTTCAGTATCCAGCAGCCTATCGCTGTGTACTTTCTTATAGTGAAGCGCATCAATATGTGTTCTATGCAGCGCCTTTAGCGTGGCTTTACGTGGGTTAACAGAAGCGGGCGCGGCACGGAATACTCCAGTCACGCTTACACGCTCGCCTGCGCCTACGCATTCCACTAGGGCTCCGTGAGCCATGACGCTCACTGTGGCTGGCGTGCGACCGGCTGGCATGTCGTCTGGAAGATAAATGTGGCGTTATAATTGACTGTTAATGGAATAGGAGATCAAAGACTGACATCCCATTCGCCAACTCTGCGACGTCGGAGTGAGCGGTGTCGCGTCGCATCAATGCACCGCATTACACTCTATGCATCGAAATCATAACGCAGCGTACGTTAACGCCCGTGTGGTATCTCTCCTAATTTCAAACCTTATAACTTATAAGTGCTAAACTAGCGTTTCTCAAACTTTGTCGTGACGCTTAGGACGTCGCATGTTAAATCTTGAAACATAGGTGCGCGGCGGGAAAGTGAAGCGACATGTTAGTGCATTTTTGTTTTTAAAATTAGTTTATATGGAGATTTGCAGTGTTTCCCCAACTTCATCACGCTGCACCAGTGTTTCTTGAACTTTCTAGCGCCGCTTATATAGGACATCACGTTCATGACTGAAGCTTAAAAGTCATTGATAGAAGGAAAGTGAAGCGTCACGTTAGAGCAGTTTTGTTTTAGAATAATTATTATTGACGGGATTGCTACCATGTACTTATTTACGAGCCTCCGATATTTGGGCACTGTTGCAAGCGCCATGATCACGGAGTAATAATTTTTTTTTTATTCAGTCAGTCAGGTATTTAATAAGTATTCTGTTAGTGACTATGAAAGTTTAAAAAAGTATAAAATATTATTTTGTTCCTAAAATTAATGTTTACGGAGAGATTCAACTCACCAGGCGACTCCTGAAGCTTGACCAGCTGTTTATCGCTGAAGTGTGAGCGGTTGTGTATAAGCTGGAAGCAGTGCGCCGTGCTGCAGTGCGAGCAATGAGCCGGTTCCGGCACGCGACCGCGCTCCAACTCCGCTGCAGTCGCCGAACCACAGACCGCGCAGCGAAAGTAAGCTTCGCGCATCTCAGGAACTATGGTGGAAGTGCGGATCACCATGCCCGATATTGTTACCAGCTGGTCGATGTCTGTGGATGGATAGAAAATAAAAAAAATCAAATGGCAATACAAGCCGATGACGTCACTACTTTTAGAACAGAGCCTCCGCTACAAAACATGCGCGGACGCTTGCACGCGTATCTGTATCGATAAATAGTATGAGCAGTGCAGTTTGGCGCGGACGCATGAAAGACGTGAGGTTTCTTTCTAAAGCCTGGTCTGTAATTATGTTGTTGTCGCGCTCGCAAGCTCACTGCGGGCGCCCGTTGCACAGTCGCGACAGCAATATAATTACGCGCGAGCGATAAGGATGGGTAGCTTGGGGTCATTGGACAAAATTATATGTGCTCGCAGACCAGACTATACCTGCGCACCCACGGGTGGGCCTACGTAGTAAGTAATAGTAGGCGTCCGCACATTAATAATTAAGTTGACGCACCCGCGCAAGTTTTAGCGTGGGCCCTTAATAGTCTAACTTTTTATGAGCTGTCTAAACGCGACTGTACAAGATAGACTAGTTACTAGTTTAGTACAACTTTAGTACACTGCCACAAGATTAGTGCTAAGATAAATTCTTCCAAACATTTAAATTTAACCTAAAAATAGTAAAAATAGCTCACCCTCTGGATTTAGGTCTCGCATGTGTCTCTGAGGAGCGTTGAACGGACGCACTTGTATCTGATGCTCAAGCACAGCCGCTGGGTATTTTTCGAAGAACAACTCGTTTACTGCCGCGTCAAACGCTGGGACCACCTTTGAAAATATTAACAGTGAATTTATAATTTTTTGATCATGGTATATTTAAATATTTGTATCAATTTTTACCTCTTGTGGGTAGCAGATTAGCTGCCTGTGTAGTTTAGGGTCGAATACTCTGACGTGATCGCAATCTACATCCAGGAATGGTTCTTCGAGGGTAAAGATCTGGAAATAAGGCGTAGAATTCATGACAATCAGAAATGTATTACAAGCCTTTAGTAGATACAGGACAAGAGCTTCCTCGTTGTGGATAAAAAAAAAGTAAATGGTCCTTCGAGCCGGATTACCGGACTCTTGGTTTTCTTTTATGATGCTTACCTCTTCTAACTTCTGTTCATATAACGGTTCGTTGGTGATTGCGGTGGGTTCGACGAATCGTTGGATGAATTTGATGAATTTCTCGCGGCATTCTGTGATGGCTACGTCTGTTCCCCAGACTACCAATTGGGGCTCACTGGATGGCGCAGTTTCAGCGGCACCATCTTCTGCCTGTAGGTAAAAACAAAATTAAGAATAAGCAAGCTTCATGATAGGCTTTGCAGATATTGCTAAAGCAGATTTACAGAGTGAAGTGTGCAAATAATTTATGCATTTAACCTCTTTGACATGTCTATCATAACACTCTTTGATCATAGTTAATGTCAGCACAAATGCCAAGTTCATTATTTGACATCACATGTAAGAATGTAGGGAAATAGTGTAAATTGGACAAAATTGTAAAAATGACCGACACAACGAACCAAATGCCCGCTAGCAGCCAACATTCTCTCTCGCAAAAAGAGTTTGATTCAACAACGAGTATAAAGCTGAAGCAGTCTTCAGTTTTCAGCAGCTGCCGTATTTGCCTGTCTTCTATCTTCGATCCTGCTTACTTGACGTGCGGCCACAAGTTCTGTGAGGGTTGTCTGGACCAGTACTGGCAAGTTCGGGACAAACCTAACTTCCTCATCTGTCCGTTGTGCCGGGCGTTGGCTTACAATGTGGATTTTATCAAGGTTAGTCTTTAAGCTACTCCTACCCTTCTGGTCCATATCCTGGCGACTACCAGAGAAATCTAAGGTTATAGCGCGCGGTCGAAACTCGTTTTGATCATTGCTGATACAGTACATAATATGAAGTGATTTTAATTAAAAAACGATTGTTACAATATTCTACTAACTAGCATTACTGCTATTGACGTAGAGTGATTCTACCTTCCAGTTTACCGCTCGCAAGTGTCGGCAGTCGAACGTTGTTAGGCTAGGTTGATTTCAACTGTAGTACTGAAAAGTTCCTGCATAAACATATTTTTCTTATTTACATTACAGAAAGGCGACGACACGGAGCCAGAAGGAGAATTCCGCAAAAACTTTGGCATGTTACAAAACATAGAAGATTCAGATCTCAACAAATCCACAATCCTGTGCTTCAAGATTTCAATGTTGATACCAGTTTTATACTACATCGTGAAGTGGCTCAAAGTACCTGCCATTGAATTTGTCTCACTGCTGAGATGTAAACTGTGGTATAAAATGTAAAAATCTAGCATGTGCCTTTCTGTTCTATTGAGTGACATTAACATAAATTATATTATTAGGGTATGGTAATAAAATTGTGTAATTCAATACTTTTTCAATATTCATTGGTCCTTTTTCATTTGAAGAACATACATAATTAACTTTCATGTTCATACTTGGCCCCTCAGATAGGCAAAAGAAGGGAAAGCAAGTTTAGGAAGTTTAAAGCTCATGACAAAGTCATCTTTTTCCCTTAGACATACAAAACCAAAAGGTATAATTAACTTATAGTCTTGTAGGAGTCAGGGTCCAGCTGATATCCTGTAAGGTCCCGGCGTCATCGTCCCGCGCATCAGTGTTCGAGGTACTCCTCAGCACTCTGAGAGAGCTTGGGGTTCCGTAGTTGAGTGGGGAGTTCATATCTACATCTGTAAGGATACGCCATTTACTTACCCGTCTTGTAGGAGTAGGCGCAGGCACGTAAGGGGCCAGCTGATGGCCTCTAAGGTCGGCTCTCTGGCGGGCCGGCGTCATGGCACCTCGCATCAGCGAGCGGGGAGTACTGAGAGAGCTTGGAGTTCCGTAGTTGAGTGGTGAACTTATGTCTGTCTGTAAGGTTATATCATTTATCATTTACTTACCCGTCTTGTAGGAGTAGGCGCGGGCACGTTAGGGGCCCGCTGATGGCCTCTAAGGTCGGCTCTCTGGCGGGCCGGCGTCATGGCCCCTCGCATCAGTGAGCGGGGAGTACTAAGGGAGCTTGGGGTTCCATAGTTGAATGGGGAACTCATGTCAATGTCTGTAAGGTTACATCATTTACTTACCCGTCTTGTAGGAGTAGGCGCGGGCACGTTAGGGGCCAGCTGATGGCCTCTTAGGTCGGCTCTCTGGCGGGCCGGCGTCATGGCACCTCGCATCAGCGAGCGGGGAGTACTGAGAGAGCTTGGGGTTCCATAGTTAAGTGGGGAACTCATGTAAGGTTACGTCATCTACTTACCCGTCTTGTAGGAGTAGGCGCAGGCACGTTTGGGGCCAGCTGATGCCCTCTAAGGTCGGCTCTCTGGCGGGCCGGCGTCATCACATAACGCATCAGCGATCGAGGTACTCCTCAGCACTCTGAGAGAGCTTGGGGTTCCGTAGTATGAGTGGGGAACTCATATCTACATCTGTAAGATTACATCATATACTTACCCGTCTTGTAGGAGTAGGCGCGGGCACGTTAGGGGCCAGCTGATGGACTCTAAGGTCAGCTCTCTGGCGGGCCGGTGTCATGGCACCTCGCATCAGCGAGCGGGGAGTGCTAAGAGAGCTTGGGGTTCCGTAGCTGAATAGGGAACTTATGTCTGTCTGTAAGGTTACGTCATTTACTTACCCGTCTTGTAGGAGTAGGCGCGGGCACGTTAGGGGCCAGCTGATGGCCTCTAAGGTCGGCTCTCTGGCGGGCCGGCGTCATGGCACCTCGCATCAGCGAGCGGGGAGTACTGAGAGAGCTTGGGGTTCCGTAGTTGAGTGGGGAGCTCATGTCTATGTCTGTACCTGGAAATACAGTTGGTAAATATTTAGTTAGAAAGGTGAAGGAGAGAGGTAGATTAAACCTTAAAATAGGTAGTAAGAGCTGGTGACAAAAAAAATAACACAAATTAACCAAAAGTGACCAAGATTTTTGTTTTTCATGAATATAATACTGGATGTGTACACAGATAAATCTGGCTCAGCTCTAGATGAGTTTAATTACTGTATAATGTCACCCTTCAAGGGGTAAATTCAAAATTGAAATAGGTAAATAGCAAAAGTATTGAGTCTAAACTTTGAGGTCCTTTGGTTTCAATCAAGTAAAAAGTTTACCTCTGGTAAATTAGAGAGGTTTATGGAGTCACATGGAGTGGGAGAGTAATGCCCGTTTTAACCATCAATCCCTAATTTTTAAGTGACCCCTTCAAAATTAGGAAATGATGGTGTAAACGGGCTTAAATGATCTGATGATGAAAGTCTATTTCTTTTAATAATGTGCAGTCAGTGCAGAATCAGTTATTGTGGAAATCCTTGAGAGGCCTTTGTCCCGCAATGGACGTTATTTGGCTGAAAGAAACAAGTGAACAAAATCCGAGTATTACCCAGAGGACTTGAAGCCAGCGCTCGCGCCGGGGACGAGGCCGCGGCGCCGCCGGGGGTGCGCGGGGTCCGCGGGGTGCGCCGCGGAGTGCCTGGGGTTCCATCTGGAAAAATAATTTTTATACAAATTAAAATGATTTCTTTTGTGTTGATTTCTGCAATCAGTCGCCAGACTATAATCAGATTTGTTGAGTCTTTTTATTATTAAAGAGCAGTTAGCTTGTGCCTAAGCTGTCTTCTTAAATTATGTGGTTTCTTTTCAGCCTTTTAACCACACATTGTCATTCTCCAGTAATCCATAGGTGAGTGGGTTGGGGTGATGAGTAAGACATTAAATATGCAGTTTCTTATAGCGCTCTATTTCGTAATGAATAAAATGAATTATATAAACAAAATAATAAATAAATAATCTAATATCCTGCTGCCCTTATTGGGCATCCATATTAAATTAAATTGTATTTTACCAGCAAATGAGTGAAAAAAAGAAAAAAATGATTATTTATTTAGTACCAAGGATTTCAAACTGATATTTATTGCTCGGAAACATTTAGGTACTATAAATAATGATTGAAGATTATTACTTACTAACACCCCCAAGCTATTGAATGTTAAGCTACTTTTTGTATTAAAATGATAAAAATAGATAAAACAGTTATATGGAATATAATCCATATTTTATTTACTACATAAATGGTGGTAGGAATGTAAATACTAAAATGAAATGATGAATGAATGAAAAAACCTAGCTCAGCGAGTTTTACTAGCCGGCACCTACCTATACCTATGAATGAATAGGTTATGGAAATAAAAAATAACTTATTAAGTTGATACAGAAAAAAATAATGTAATAGAAACTGAGATAATTAAGAAGAGGTAAACAATATACCTTTAGATGGTGTACCGGTGGATCGCTGGGGAGTCTCCGGCACGACGAGCTGTTGAGATGAGCGTGTCCTCCTTGAAGGTGTTGGGGCCTCGGATGAGGCTTGTGACGGCGGGCGTTTTGATGGAGTAGACATTATTATACTAATCTATTACTTATTTAATTAACACGTATTTATCTCACAAAACAGTAAGGACAATCACATTTGCACAAAACACGAAATAATCTTGTTTATTTGTAACCACAACAGCACAAGATTTTTGGCGCGTATTTTGACACTTTTATTTTTTAATTTTGTGACACACCACAGACTGTCAGAAACTAGTGACGTACTTTGATTCCGTTCAATTGAACATTTCAATTAATTATGCTGAAAAATTACAAATAGTTAATAAATTATGGTCATAGTACTCTTATCAGCTCTGAAAGGGATCGTAACCGTATCGCCTTTCTCCTCGCCATCACCTAAGCGTCATCAACCTAACGTAAGAATAATGTAAACAGAAGCAGCCATTGGAGTATTTGGGGGTCATTTTTCAGGGGGCACATACTTTCCTATATGGGGACCCATATTGCCGATGGATACGGGGGGGAGGGTCGAGGCTGGTCTAGGCTCGAGCGAGTCGGCAGCCTTACATCCTGGGGTGGGCGGGCACTGGACCAATCTGGGATGGATTATTTTTATATCTATTTCCTAAATCGAATCGGAAAAAATTTGTCAATATCCGATTGAGGTCCTCTCTAGTAATGTCAACCAACTCTTTCTCACCATAGACAAAAGTTATTTGATCATTGATCGTTCATTCACCGCTGATGTTTTCAGTGTTATTTTGTGATAAAATAAATAAATATAGACGATTACTACTAAATAAAAGCAATTGTTGTGGTCAACAGTATTTAAAAATAGTGCAATAAAATTGACTAGGTCAAATCAATGTGATTTGCGTCAATATTGTTGACCATTTCAAGGGAAAACTATCTTTGTGCAATCTACCTGCATCGACAGGCATTGATATTTTCGTGTATAGTTATTGGTGACGGGACACTAGAAAAAATATATAATCAATCGAAAATTAATTATCGACGACGCAATAATGCGTATGATTTATGTTCACTTTTAATTTGGTGCTTAGTGAACAAAGTCAAGAGCTATTTTTGGTGAGTATTCTGTAGTTATATCCAGACGGCAATGATTCACTCTAATCTCCTTCATTTCCATTGTCGGAGTGTTCAGAGTTGTTTATCATCTCCTGTTTATTTCAACTTTTAATTTTTATAGCCCTTAGTCACCTATAGTGACCAGTAAATAATTATCATACTTTAACTTTCAAGTGCCTTTGTTGATGTGGATGTCACATTGAGCAACTTGTTTTCTTTTCTTTATTTAAATTAGAAATTCAGTGGGGCTTGAGGTTTTTATTATACCAATATAAATTAAGTATGTAATGCCAATGTTCTGGTGCAATCAGCTTTAGCTTCAGGTTGTTTATTACTGTTAGTTTTGTCCTCAAGTTAGATCAGGTTTTACTGGAAATGTACTTTTCTTCTAATTTATGTCGCACTTCATGCCATTATAATTCCATCTACTTACCCAGAAATGCATTTGTGGAAAATTTTATAGCCTTCAAACATTATTGATTTTTTAATTACTGACTGGGATAGGTAGTTTTTGCCCCTTATCACCCCTCATCCCCTGTTTACTCTACTTATCAAACATGGATAATGGGATAACACATGATTTTAGTAAATTCGCTTGTGTTCTAATATCTAATAAGAAAATATGATACTGCATATTCAAGTCATAATAATGTGTATTTACATTTTATAAAATGTATTCCTGTTTTGTAAATTTCCATGTAGTACTCAGGATAATTTTATATTGGAAACAGTTATTGATTTAAAATTATAACTTCTAACAATCTAATAGTTTTGATAGTTAACTATACATCACATGTTATTTTTTTAGTAAAATTATCATTTCGAGACAAGTTAGTGAAGCTATTTGTAATATCAATCTGTCTAATGTTGTCTTTATATTATTGTTTATGATTGTCTTATCTTTCTAATAAGAATATTGGACTCATTTTGTGATCCTAATATATCTGGGTATTTTTTGTATTTATATGGAAAGATCACATCTCCCACAAACATTTATCTAATATGTATGAACAAAAGATCAAACAAGACACATTTGCGTGGCTTTGGCGTGAGGGGGGCGCATGTAGTCGAGGCTACGCTTGCCGCGCCCCCTAGCCCCTGAAATCTTATTAGAATTTTCTAAACAAGCTTATTTTGTGTTTTTTCATAAATTGCCAATGCGACATTATTTCAACTTGTTTAATTCATTAATTATGTCCATAATTTTTCTAAGTTTTATGTGTGATGCTTTCTACCTTCAGGGTTCGGGCACTGTGGACGGCGCAAGCGCAAAAGGCGGAGGGTCCACGATGGCACCAAGTGAGTATCGCTCGAGTGTCCCACGCTTTACGCGAGTGGCATTCGATGACTTTTAGAAACTTGCCTAAACGCGAATGCTCTGAGATTTCGTTGATTGGCATTTTTTCACAAAACAATCAAGTTTCATACACAGACGCATCAACGCGCGCGTCAAAAGTTATCAATTGAAACTGGCAACAACCCCTATGATAAATATTTGGTTAAATTTTTATTACATTCTTGAGTTAAACATCTGTTCACGCCAAATTGTTACCCATAAACAAGACTATAAGGTACAAATTGGCATAGACTTTAAACCTTTACTCAAGGAGAAATTAAGCTTGAGGATCAAATAAGAATGCGGGGGTCCTCACCCCGCTCGAGAGCGTAACATCAATCAAACGGTAAAACACACGCGCCCCGAACCTCTACATAAAATAGATCTCTTCACAAATTGGCACAAGTATGCCTAACTTGGAAGACAATAAAGCCACATACACAATTATCTGTTTACATTACATTCGTCGTAAATAGTGTGGATGCGTCGCAGTGCATTCGCATCAAGCCCGCCATACTGCGTCATCGCGATGTAATATGGAGACGCGCACTTGATCAACCACTGTCAATAGTTTTTTTTAGCTTGCAGGATTACCTCTAACTGACTTTGATATACGAAACGAATTACGAAAATAGTCGACAAGCGACAGCTAAATAATACGCTAATTGATACTGTCAATCATAATAAATACCACGCACGAGTGAATGAGCTATCTGGATCTAATTTACAATTTCTTTTTTATGGCTTCATTCGTCTATTAAACTGTATAATAGAATAGTTTCGACAATTTCAAGCGATAAAGAGATGCATAACTGGTTTTCATAGATGCAGTTTCAAAGCATCCATATCGGAACTCAATATCATAATTTATCTCTATGCCATGTGTTTTATCAAAGACCGATTTGGGGATTCCACACCACACATCCTACTGATATAAATTCGTTTTTAAAGTGTGTAGCTACGATAATACGAATATTTTATCGATAGGATTCACTTTGCTATCTTCTCTCTTCCTAAAATTCGGGTTAACTAAAGAAACAATGTCCCTAACGACTCTAGCAAGCATCTCAATCAAATGAAAAATAAGTTGAGGATAAAATAAATACAGTTGAGGTAAAATGCATTTACCGTGGGCGAAGCCGGGTGCTCCAGGAGGCCTGGGCATGCGCGTTGCCCCGGGCGCCCCCTCGCGTACCCGTAATTGTTGCTATACATAACTATACTTATGTACGAACAATAACAACCGTATCGGCAAATGGTTAGGAGAAAGCTGATCTAATAAAGGGACGGTGTATTGTTAAATTGTTACCAAAAACGTTACTTTTAGCCTAGAAATGTTAGATAAAAATATGGCAATTTTTGGTTTCATTATTAATTTCGTGAAAAAAGTAAAGTAATAATGTTTTTAACAGAAAAATGTTTCTTTCTATTTATATAAATAAGTGGGAGGAAACAGAACATAGGTACTGCACTTTGCGATATGTGCATTGTGCAAGGCATAATTCCTACAATAATTTCATATAAACATACCAAATTAGTTCACCATAAATAATTTATTTATTACAATCAATTATTCGTTAGACAAGAATGCCTCAATATTTCGTACATCTATTTACAACGTGATCAATGAATCAAATTTTAACTTACTGCTATTTTGAAGTATCAGTCTATCATCGTAAATCGAAACACTCGGGGCCATTAGGAAATCGATATCGCTCATACATTTATGTTTGCCGCAATCGGCCATAAATCGGGTGTTACAATATGAACATCGCGGTGTCTTCCACTCTAGAGAATAAAACTTTGTGATAAGTTTAACATCAAGCATACTCGCCTGAAAGAAAGTAGGTAGTAGGTGTATTTTGTATCGAAAATACATTTCAACCCTGAATTATTTATTGCAAGAGCATTATTGCACTATGTATTTGTTTTGTACGGAGATACATACAGTCTATCGCCTCTATCGAAAAAGTAGGTAATAATATCCATATCCGACAATTATTAGGAATGTAGGCAAGGCACACTTCAAAGTCGCTTCTTTAAAACCCTGAAAGAACTGAAATTGTGTTGCAATATTTGAGATAAGAAATCGATATGATTGTGACGACAGCAAAAAATCTTGGAAAAACTGCAAAAAACAACGACCTAAATGAAAATATTATTGCTGATTGAACCAAAATCTGCGTCAGAGCACCGTCGGTGTGCGCTTACGCAACTCCAGTTTTGGCAACTAATGTATTAATGAAAAGTGCAATCATTTCATCGTTATGCTTTTGATTGTTACTAGGTAAAAACTGAGGGAGTTGAAACAAAAGGAATTCATTTTGACACGTGCATTGATGCTAGTTTAGTTTCAAAATTTTCCAATGTCAAACAACAGGGTGACTGGTGACTTAGGACAATAGTTGTTCGAGAACAATTAAGGGGTAATTTCTTTGTTTTGTCACACCATTTACTCGTGCCGGCTTTAGTTTTTGCAGCCCTAAACCCCACAAAGGGAACATTCGTGGTAATTTAAAAATATCCCACTTTTCGTTTCCGGCAAGATCGCTCTTTTGTTGTGATTATGCTTTGACCAACGCTGCCTTGTCACAAAGGTTTTAGAAAACAAAGCGATGCGAAATTAACAAATGAAACCAATTTAAGGAAAGCCATTTGTTACACGGCTCGTGTATACATTTGGCCCTCGGCGCAGGTAGAGGCGTTTCTTTTGCTTCGCAACCTCGTCCAGGCTTATGGCTGGTCAGAGATCCTCAATCTTACCAAACGTTGAAAAACTTTATTCTGAAAAAGAAAAATAACTTGTTTTTTCAACGTCCAAGTCTAAAAGATACGTTATTAGATACAATGATAATCATATTCGCGTCGCTTTTTTATAATTTAAAAATATTTATGCAGTTCGAATGTCTTCCTGACGTATATTTTGTTATACATCATTAGTTTGGTATTTCTAATTTTAAGCTACTTTCTACGATGACGTAGCACTATCATCTGACGATGTTTGTCATTTAACTTTGCACATTATTTCATCATTATTACTAAACATGTGTTATTTTATCTTTAAAAAATTTGAGAGCCATCAGCTTATCTATTGCAAGGGCTTAGGCACGGTGCAGGCCGACTCGCAAACCCATTGTTTCTTATCGTCACAAAAACGCATTGTGGAACCTTCTTCGCAAATTCACAAAGCAATTACTACCTGCTTGGCTCAATGACTCAATGCTCTAGGAGAAATGGTTTTCTGTAGAAGCAGGTGGTGGAAGGCTTTGTACTTTTGATGGTATTTTTGCTGTAAAATCTGCGCTCAGACAAAATGCCATGCCATCATGTGTATGTTGAAAAATATTAACGTTAAGCCTATATTTATTTAAATGTTACATTCTATCCATATCTAGAGGCCTCCAGAGGCTAAATAACATGGTGATTATGAAATTATCTACAAATTATACTCTAGGTTGGAGAATTAATACACTTCGGCTGTTTATCTTTTATTGTTCAATGTTTTGTGTATTTCTGTTTGTTTATCCCCAATGCGCATTAATCTGATGAACATACTAAATTTTTTATTAACCCCAAGAAAGTTATACGTGAAATAAAGTGAATCAAATATTTGTAAGCATTAAAATAGTGGTATTTTTCTCTTGAAACTCCAGATCTAACCCCAAATTTCAGTTAGTTAGTATGTTCGCCGGTTTGTTAATAAGTTGTTGCAACGATGATTTTTCTTGCCAATCCATTATCCGCCTACAGCTGTAATTTTATATCAGATCCTGCAATTTCGGGAACCTCTATAACTCTGAATTACAAACCGAACCTCTGCATACAGTTTACTTTCTTTCCATATTGTTTTTTTTTTATGTTTATTCTAACATTTATAATCCCGATCGATTAATTAATCAATTAAAAATAAGTGTTTACCAGAAAAAATAATCCTGCTAAGTATGAATTACAGAGGTAGGTAATCGTAATGTCCGAACAAAGGGACCGGCCCTGTTAATGAAATTAATTTGTTAACCTAATGTTATTTACAACTTCCATTAAAATCCAACTGTGATAAAATAAGCACTTAAACTGTGCTATGTTTCTTAGGACCTCGAACTTAGAAGCTGAAATGCTAACAATGAATGCTATTGTTTAAAAACAAAGCCTGATTAAATTAATTCAATGAACCCTCAACCAGCTTTTGGTGTTCAATGAATTCTGCAACTCTGTAGAATATCTTTCTGGTCTTTTTCAAATCATTTGATCATGTGCGTGCAAGCTGCATTCAAAAACGGCTTGCAAAATTTATGTAGAAACGTTCATAATACAATTTGTATTAAGGCATCTGCTGAAATTGCTTCAAATTATTTCAAAACCTTTGCAACTCGCAAGAAACAATTTAACCCAGCGATCTTTCCCCACGTTATTCTGCTTCCGTATTTTGCTTTCTCTGGAACTTTCTATGCTATACCTACTCATAGATACTTTTATACCATTCGAAGGCATCGGCGGTTCCCTTCGAGATATGAGCAACAAGGGAAGGCATCGATTTTCGGCACCCTCCAAATAGGCGGGGCGCGGGGGCGCAAGATGGCGGCCCGGACCTGCCTCACGCGCACTCGCCTCCCAAGGTCATGATCGCGTGTGCCACCACGATGCGCCTCCAAAAATACAGAATCCCAACAAATGGGCATAGCCCTGTCCCTTTCCAACCGGCCGCCGTAACTAGAGGCTGTCCCTCTCACACATCCGCCCGTGAAATGTAGAATTATGCCACTCAATTGTGATCTTAACAGCATATTTAGGGTTGGCTGTATGGTGGTACTGAAATCAATGTCAGGAGCCTATGATCAATATCGCCATGCGCAGGGGAAATTCGACCTTATGGTCCACTTATATGGTTGATTTAAGTTAGTCTTTTATGCAAAAGTTAGCAGTTTGAAGCCTAGATCAATGTTCAATACATTTTTACAGCAGTTAGTTCTTAATATCGATAGTTTTCACAAAATTATCTTACTTTTACTGATTTTCTATTTGGTAGTTTGCTACTTCTCAAATTCTTTTAAACAGAATGTTCTAACGAACCTAAACAAATATTTATGAAAGTGATAACTAATCAGCAATTTACTAATGACATTTCTATATAAATTCATAGATAAACAGAACAAAACGCTGGCTAGTCAGCCCTAATCATAGCAAAGCTTATCTACATTATGGAAAACTTTGGAATGCGACAGAGCAATTCAATTTCTCTTTCACACCCTCGAGGTAGTGTATAGCTGTCTCTCTTTAGGGTCGCTACCTAACATTATGAGGGGTAGTGGTAGGGCCGCACAAAAGATTTGGAATAGATTTTTTTCGCAAACTGCAGTGCAATGAAAAAGCAGAGTGGTTCAGCCAGTCCAGATGCACCCGTCGCTGCGTTCAGAGGTGGCCCGATCAGCCCTCGTGTTTGTGAACTATTTGTGAAAATAAACTATTGACAGTATTTTGGTTCAGTGCGCGTCCGGTATACAAACGGCCAGTGTTTTTAATTTTTTGTGAGCAAGGTAATTTGTGTTCAAACTTGTATTGCAAAGATAGTTTTTTTTTATAGTCTGGTTTCAAGTATAAAATAATATTTAAAAATATTTATCCACATTATGAATGTTTGGAGAATGCATTAATTTTACAAATCAATATGCGGGTGCATAGCACAGCCATAGGTCATTTGAATTTAATACTTGCCCATATATTAGTCAGTAATATCACTTACCTATATCAGCCAGCCTAGTAACAATAAACTTTGGTTGCAGGTTTAATGGCTTGACATATGTACTGTAAGATGCCGTCATATGCCAAGTCGGCTCAGTCGCCGCCGTCAAGCAACCCGTCGGTGTCTGAGTCGGCCGGGCACGCCGCCGCCAACGGCTCGAAGGAGGACGACCTCACCATGACGCATCTGCTGTGCAACCTGCTGGAGAACATGAACCGGCCGCCGCCGCCGCCCGCCGCCGCCGCCGCCTCCGCGCCCTACGACATCTGGGCGCTGCCCTCCGCCAGCGCAGGACCCAACCCCAACGGCGTCATCGGCCGTGAGTACCGCGCCGGCTCCAGCAACAACAACGCGCACCACTCCAAGGAGGACAACTCCAGCGGCTCGCCCGGCACCTCCTCCTCCGTGTCCATCACCTGCTTCCGCTGCGAGGAGCGCTCGCCCACCACGCGCTGCCTCGAGTGCAACGACCTCTTCTGCCACGAGTGCTGCCACAAGCTCACCTCCGACTGCCAGCTGCGCGAGCACACGCTGCTGCCCATCCACCAGGTGTCGCCCATCGGCGTGCGGCCCAACTCCGTCACCAACGACAAGGAGTTCTGCATGTACTGCGAGATGCACGGTGAGGCCATCAGGTTCTACTGCGAGGCTTGCGTCATGTTCGTCTGCCCCGAGTGCGTTCTGTGGATCCACAAGGACCACAACTACTCTCCCATCAAGGGCGCGTTCGACATGTGCCGCGTGGGCGTGTTCCGCTGCATAGAGGACACGAAAACGGGTACCAAGGCCATAAAAACTGCGATCGACCGCGCCGTGGCCATGTCGAAGGCCTACGAAAAGGAGTCCGCCGAGGCCAACATGAAAATACGCAAAGCCATGCGGTGTTACGCTCAGGCCATTGAGGATCGTGAAAAATTTCTACTGGACAAGGTGGAGAAGATGCGCCAGGCGAAGATCACGGAGCTGACCGACCACATGAACACGCTGCGCGGCATCCTGGCCGGGCTCGCGCACACCAACGAGACGCTGGTGCGCAGCATGGACTCTGAGGGAATCGATTTGTTTATGGCGAAAGAAAAAGGTAGAGCCCAGGTGGACTACTTTTCGCACATGTTTAAAAACATGTACATCACAGAAGACAAGATCATGTTCGTGCCGCCCAATTATGACTTGGTCGATCAGCTGAAACGCCAGTGCGACGTGCAGCCGGTGCCGGCCATAACGCACATCAACACCGCGTCGATCCAGTCGCGCCAGTCGCTGATGTCGATGCAGTCGAACCAGGCCTCGCACTCTTATCCGCCGATCTCCTATCATCACTCGTCGAGCTCCAACAGCCTCCGATCGCTTCCCGATTACTCGATGAACTCTCGATCGACGAGTTCCTACGATCAAAGTGGACCCCCGCTTATGGAGGCGAACGCGGCCCGCGGCATCGGACAGGCCATACCCGGGTACTGGATGTCTGTGTCAGTGAAGCCTACTAGATCCCCGGTTCCCGGCGTCCCGATGTTTTCCTTCGGCCGAGAGGGCCAGGACGAAGGACACGTATCTCGGCCTTGGGGCCTGTGCGTAGACAGAGAGGGCAACATCATAGTCGCCGACAGACGAAATAACCGCATTCAAATATTCTCCAACAGAGGAGAGTTCAAGACCATGTTCGGTTCCAAAGGAACGGGGCCCGGCGAATTCGATCTTCCGGCTGGAATAACCACTGACACCTATGGTCGTATCATCGTCATCGACAAGGACAACCACAGGGTCCAGGTGTTTACGAACGCGGGTAATTTCATCCTCAAGTTCGGTTCCTTCGGCAAAGACTGCGGGCAGTTCCAGTACCCGTGGGACGTGGCCGTGAACACGCTGGGCAACATCGTGGTCACGGACACCCGCAACCACCGCATCCAGCTGTTCACGAGCGACGGCACGTTCATCACCAAGTTCGTGTTCGAGGGTGCCAACCCGGCAAAGATGTTGAAAGGGCCGACGACCCCGCGCGGCGTGTGCTTCACCACGAGCGGGAACATAATAGTGTCAGATTTCGAGAACCACAGATTGATAATGGTGGACCCGACTCTGTCGAAGGTGATGTACTGCGTGGGGCGCGAGGGCTCGAGCCTGGGCGAGCTGAACCGGCCGTCGGGCATCGTGACGGACGACGACGGGCGCATCATCGTGGCGGACTCCAAGAACCACCGCGTGCTGGTGTTCACGTCGGAGCTGCGCGTGATGACGGCCGTGGACCTCAAGAGCCCGGGGCTGGACGACAAGGACCGGCCGTCCGACGTGGCGCTGACGCCCGAGGGCTGCCTCGTGGTGCTCTTCGAGACGCTGCCCGACACGGCGCGCGACCTGGCCTCGCACGGCAAGCAGTACATCAAGGTCTACTAACTGTGAGGTGACTGTCTGAGCGGACCTAAGGTCTACCCTGTTTTATTTTCGTTTATTAAGTTGTGATTTCTTTGATAATGTGCCAATTTTATTGATCGAGCATAGCTTGTCCGGAGATCTCGCATTGAGCTCGTGAGGCGACGCTCAATCGAAATCTCTCTAAACATTTGACATTTGCGTTACCATTATAATTTGCTTTTGTTTCCGTATACATATTACTAGTCTATAAGGACCAAACTTTGTTTGTGTTAATTTGCAGTGTAACTTAGAGTAGCAAACGGTACTGGTAACTTTCTGAAAACATATAACTATACCGATATCTTAGAGTTTAAACATATAATGATACTTAAACTTAAATATAATAATATTAAATTACTCATTTCCGATCCGATTTCACTTACGATTTATAGTTCAATTTAGAATAATCGTAAATATACTATTATAAATATCACCATGTGATGTAAAACACTAACATATGTGAGATAGATAACTTGAAAAGTATTTTCCAAAATGTTACATTTTGCGTTTTTAACTTGGTTATAATTGACGCAGACGTCGATGTATAAGTTATTTTGCGTATTGATTTAGGTGCATAATATTATATATTTTTATTAGAGCGTTGTCGGCGCGGATCGCCGATCGGCTAGTTTACGTTTATGGGTTTGCTCGGGAACTTCAGTATATTTGCGTGTGCGGTTCAGCTGAGAGCTTGCGTGAGTGCTGAACAAAGAAATCAATGCAATAAATCTTTAAGACTGACTTTAGAAGACTGTCTTAAAGCGGTTGCTTGCGCCGGCCTCGTGCCCAGGCGCCGGTATACGTCGCGCCTTTTTTTTACCAAAATATTTAGGTATTATGTTAATTTCAACAATTATGAAATTCAGACTTTTTTATATTCTTTAGACAATACGTGATATTTTTTGATTTCATTACAAAAAGTTTTTCTTATTATTTCGCAAAGAATATATTATTAAGAAAATTATTTTGACTGACTAAATTATTTTTTTTTTAGTTTTAGCCAAATTGAAACGTTAAAATTTTTATAATCGAAATAATAATCTTTTGCTACGTTTCTGGTCACGAAGGGAGAGTTAATATTTTTCATTGCCAACGCATGCATAACTTCTTCAGTAGAGCGTACTATCGGGTGTTACTAGGTATAATGTAGTCGATGATATAGATGCGGACTTACGATTCAATAGATAATTTTAGGAATATTCTCCTACTGGTAACTTAAATTAGCTAATGTAATCGTGTGTGTTTGTGGGTATAAAATAATTAGTTCAAATATTGTAGTGAAATTCTTTTCTGAAATGTAAATTGTAAAGCTTAATCTATTTTATCCACATATTACTTGGATAGTTGATAACGCATGTATAATCGCGTATAAATCGCATGTATAATTAATTAATTAAGCGATACCCTTGTGTTCAGTAATAATTATTATAAATTAATATTAATATAATTAATCTATGTACTTTTTTGTGTTCACATATAAATATGATGTACTATTACTGAGTAAAATTAATTTAGTATGTTTCGAGTTGTCTGAATCGTTGTGGCATCGTAGCTAGGTCGTTAGGTAGTAGCGTGTTTGCACTTCGCACTTAATATGTGGCTTCTAATACTAAGCGGTATGTGAGAGCCAACCGAGGGCCGTGCCAATACAAGATGGCGGCCCGCCTGCGTGGCGTATATCCAAAATGAATGTCGTTATGTTATCTTGAAAATCTTAAGTCCGATATCTAACTTTCAAATAAGTAACCATTTTCTAATATACTTTATACAGCTAAATGATTAATCGCCTTATTATCATTATATTAGAAATCAATACAGTACGTAAATAGTCATATACCGCGGTTTGAAAATTAGTTAAGCTTGAACAAAGTGTTACAAGTAAAATATTAGATAAATTAATCGTATCGTAAGGAGTGTGTATGCGACGTAGAGATGTTATGACATAATAATGATCTGTAAGCGGTTAATTAACATAGAGTAACGTTTTTCACCTTTGTACTTAGGGTAACATTAGCGTAAGCTCTTCGATTTAAATCTTTAGTCATATACTATCGTGTATCGTATGAGTAGCTTCAAACAAAAATTTTCCAACGTGTGAATTGAAACGTAGTTAGTAATAATTTGGAACTGATTAATATAGTATGATGTCGACTGGCGTAAGAGTCTGAATAATGTATTAAGAAGTAGTAGAAAATTATTGTTTGAAGTGCAAAATTTAGTAGCGAACGACGGAGCCTGGCAGTCTTAGTTCGCGGGTTACTCGTGGATTACAGTCTCACAGAATAGTCGGTGTAGGATCTTAGACTGTCAAACCTCCGTCGTGCTTTGACCCCCTAGCATCAACATATAATCGCTCATGAAGTTTATAGATTGTGTGACTCACCTCCTGGCGTTCGCGTAGTTAAAGTGAGATCTTAGCACGCTAGTCAAATTCCCATATGTCAGGAAGATTCTCTCTTGCTTAGAGTTAATACCTGTAAAATGATGTTATACAGTGCATTAAGGGCTTATGATGCACCTTCCGAGTTTCATTGATATCCTCAATTGAAATAAGCGGGCTACATAATACTCCCAAACTTGTAATTGGCAGCGTAATGTAGTATTAATATTTAATGGACGGAGCTGATGCTAAAACTACATGCTGTAAACTTATGTGACGTTCATGCAAAGCAAACGATCGACTATCATTTTCTAAATTGCGTATTTCAGAGATTTAATTTGAGTGGGCACATATTATTTTCTAGTTCTTGCAAAATTGTTAACTGGCTTTAAAGTCTAGGTTCAGAGGATGTGTTTTAGCAACAGTTCCTTATTACTAAGGCCTCCTTAATATATGAAATCACTTCAGGTGCATTCTGACTGACGCGAATCACGCACTAAAGCCGAGTGTATTCTGTGCACAGATACCACCGCGCTGTACAGTACAGAGTAACAGGAACACTAAACTACTATACTATGGATACTTATATTATCGGTCTTCGGACCATGTTTGCGTGATGCTCCGTGCTGCGCTGAGTGAGTGCGTCGCCACCATTCCAGCATACACTCGGCTTAAACGGCACGCGCCATATTCGTTGTCACGACCATCTCAACGCCCGCGCTTCGCGTCGGTCGGCCCGCGCCTGCTGTGAATACAATATCTGTAGAAGCTAGACAGTAATGCAGTTTAACGTATAACGCGAAACTTAGAATTCTCATAATAAATACAAAACTTTCGGTTTCCAGTAATTTGTAATAATGTTTATTTTTTGTTCAGTGCCATTATAAAGTATTGCGTTATTTTTAAAATAATGTGTTGCATTAAATGCATTTTTATTATTAACATTTGGAATGTTTTACAAGTCAAAATTTCACAGTTTTATTTTATTGGGTACAACGAATCTCATATTTTTGTATGAATTCAGTGACTTGACAATGTTGATCGACGCATTGAATAGGATTTGCAAAGCAAACTCCGAACATCTTGTGATTGTTACCGATTGGGGCACGCGAAGGGTGTCCCAGTCCGGCAACGGCGGAGCCCGGAGTCCGCGCCACGCCTCCACCAGGGGCTGAGGTGGACGCTGTCTCAAAGATCTAAACTATTGAAACGACATTATCTACATCCTTTTGTTATGTTTACCACCTCAGCCTCAAGAGCCGTGGACCGAGATGAAGGGCCAAAGGCAGTTTGTAAAACTAACTCGGCTAAAAGCTGCTGAAAAGCATTTTACTTAATTTTAAATTCATTTTGTATGATTTGGTTGTTTTCTTTTTTAAAAATATATTTTGTTGCTTTCTGGGTTTCTGTGAAAATATCGAAACTTGTCTGTTCAATTTGTGATGTATTGCAATATTAATGATACTTCTAGACAATCTTGGAGCGTTTTCGGTATTTTCACAGAATCTCAGAAAATTGAGTAAGTAATTGTGAAAATGTGAACTATGTGAGGCCTGCTAGTTGCTAGCAGTAAAATTGAAGTTTTGTGATAGAAACAATAAAATTGAGAACTTAATGATATTCGGAACGCGAATATAATTTTTTTACGAATTTTTGAAATTTAAAAGTATTCCGGGACGGTAACAGAAAAATGGATAGGATAAAATTGAATCGGTGAGTTCATAACGATGGACGCCAATTTGGAAACATTGATACAATTACGAGATTTTAGGGAATTGTATTGAGCCATTTTTGTGCTATTTTTGTATGTTATGTAGTCGCTTGTATGTGTAGTGCAGGGCGGGCCCGCCGCCCCGCGGGCGGCGCTCGCTCGGCTGTCGTGTGTATCTCATAGTAGTAATATTTTTGTATCTATGCCTCGAGACAATGCAACATCACATAATATCGAATTGGAGATCGCTTCGCTACATCTCAATTTCGCATGCGATCGAATCGAGGTGGATTATGTTGCATTGTCTGGGGGTACTGCGTCTAAGCAATGTGACGTGCGTTATTCGAATCGATAAGAGATCGAATCGGTAACGCACGTTACAATGCGTAGAGGCGTCGATCCTCGGGCGGGTCGCAGAGCGCGGTTGCGACGCTCGCGGCTCGCGGGGTGGTAGTATTGTTTAACCGCACCTACCTCAGCTGCGTTAGTATGTCTTTTTAATTAAGAGTGCATGTTGTATTCGCGTATCAGCCAGTTGGGTGCGTAATGTAATATGATATGATGTAAAACGTAACGGTGGTCAGATCACCGGCTAAGAGACACTGGACCTACTACGGAAAGTTAATAAACTGAATAGATATAATGTAACTTAGTTGTACTAGCCTAATGATAAATATATTATTACAATTTCCATAAGTAACAGTAGTTCAATAGACTTCTCACAATCGTCGGTTCGACCGAATATAAGGAACGTTTCCGTAGTGGGGGTACTGTCGCCTATACCTACCAGTTTTCAGCTCGTCTTTAGATTAGATATAATAAGATTTAAGCGTCCACTTATTTTTATGATTTTCCTTAAAATTCAGCATTGGTATAACGTTTCTATTACGTACGAGTGGACAACGTCTTTTTCTTTTATATCTATTCTTACGTTATTCTTCTGTAATATTGTTGAAAGAAGACTGAAATTTTATAAATGTTCCTATATTTTAATTTAGAATAATTTACTGCCTACCATTTTTCATTTACATTATTTTTACCCTTTCGGTAATCATTACTTTCATTCTTATAATCTTATCAATTGTATGACGCTATATAATGTCATGAAATTTTTGAAATTTTTAATGGAATTTTGTATGAAAAATTAATCAAGTGATTGATAGTAATAGTGGTTTTATTTCAACTGCCTTCCTTTTCCTTACACTTACTTTATTACTACAACTACTAGGAATGAACACAACACACTAACACCATAATAATATGCTAACACACTAGTTACAAAAAAATACTTCATTACAAGATTTTTACTAAGACTTAACAAAAGAGAACAAGGATCAGTAAAGAAGAATAAAGTAATTAGTAATTAGGTAATTATAACTAACGAAGATTCAACAAATAAACGTTGTTGTTATCTTAACAAAAAAATTAAGACTTGCCTACCCTCTGAAAATACGAAATGCGTTTTATGTACTCTTCATGAAAAGCTAGCATTAAGAGTAGGCGCACATGAAGAATCGGCCAAATCGAATCGGCGTAGTGTGCGCACTCCCATACATGCCCATACTGATCAACTGCCCGACTAAACTCATAGAGTTATTAACTCTATGACTAAACTATCTGCCGACGAAAAATCAACGGTGTGCGCCTACTTTAAGGGCGCCTAGAATTCCTAAGGTAGAAGACACACTATCTACATCAAGAAGTTCATAACATGCAAAACATCATAGCGCCCGCCTTGTTTTAGCAGAAGCGAGTTCGAGTCCTGCATAGGGCAAATGTTAGTGCGATAATGCAAAGTAAACTTATTGATAAGTCCCTCCCCAAATTGTGGGGTGGCTCGGTCCGTAAACGCAGTCCAGTGCGGATTGGTCGAGAGATAGTTGCAACCGGCCAACCTTACTGTCAGATGTTTTCAAAGGATGATTGTGTGTATTTTTTCAAAAATGTAGTCGAAATGGTCTACCATTACTCATGATCGCCACTAACTTTATTACTTAGTAAGATCACGGCTTTTGATAGAGTTGTCGAACCTAATAAGCATCTTATATTGCATCTAACGTATGCATATGGCGGTAGGTGCCATTTTGCAAAAAAAATCCCTGATATCAACTGTATGTAAATGGTCAGTCATCTTTCGTGTAGATAACAGCAGAACTATTGCATTTATACCCGGTGTTATTCACGGGATTGTTGTTTACTTTTGTACGGCTTTATAAGCCGCAAAAGTTTTTTAGAGGCCATGGCTGCAGCAAACCCTGCGATCATGGGCAGATGTTGATACGTACTTTTCAGTAAAGCCACAAGAAGCTTGAGTCAAGCCGGCCGGAATATACAACAGCCGTATCAGTGAGCTTCCGATCGATTGCATCAAAAGCGTGGGCAACGAGCGCCATCTATAGTGGAAACTAGGAACGCGTGGGCGTGGGTTAAAAAATATTCCATGAAATTCACTGTCTCACTGTGTATGCTTGGAAATAATTTATGTATCTATTTGCCCTATCTATAGGCATAATTTGGCCTTTATCTCAAGTAGAGCGCAAAAGCCATATCCACTTAATCTCTATGTAATGTGCACCGAGCTTATGCCACTAAATATGACAACAAATGTCAGTAATTGTTTACTGTTGTTTACATAGAAACATAAATACAAATTACTTATAACATGGGACATCAACTGAGTAATCTATTCTCAGGGCTCGGGAGGTTCTTCGAGTATCCCGTGAAAAGAAAACCCATCTGCTTTTATCGCCAAGAGGACTTTACTGCGACAGGTTTTAATTAGCTCTACGCATGCTCTACGTTCTTATTTATTTAGAGCTATTTTACCACTACTAAAGTAAGGAATCCACCACATGGACAATTTATAAATCGATACAATTCAGCTGCTTAGACAAGCACGCGTGTCGGTTCAGTAGAGAAAGAGAATTATTCTTATTGGAAAGGAACGCATTTAACATTCTAATAAGAATTTCTATGGAACCTCTATTATGAGGTAGAGACCTATAGTCAACCTTGAGGTTCTAGGTTAAATTCCCAGGTGGGTGGGTTGTAAAAGGGACGAAGAAATCCGTATGGTGTTTTTCTACTTTAAAGATAGTGTAAATAGGAAAATTTTAACGATACAAATAAACCCAGAGGCGTTTTTATGTAAATTGTTACATTGGCGACAGGGGAACCCCAAAAGAAAATGGTCGATTCACAGAAGACGGTCACCATGACGGATTACGACAAACTGGTGGACTTGTTCTACAAGAGGCTAGCAGAACAACGACAGTACAATCAAGTAAGATATAAGCTAATAACAAAGACGTGCTGACTCTAAAACAATCCGAATACCTTACCTTATACAATTAAGTAATTATTAACATGATTTTTCATACAAACATCCCCCTAATGGGTCAGAAAATTCGAAGAGTACGAGTAGGGTTACGAAATAATCTTAAAGTAAGGTAGTAACAAGTAAGTAAAGTTACAATCCACATCTCTACTTAGAAGTAGAAAAGTAAGACCTACATAGTAATCTACTCGAAACACACTGATCGTTTTAATAGTCCAGTCATTTAAGCTTAAATTAGGAAAGAATCTCGGAATTAGAGATACCCAGCTGTAAGTCTGTAAATACTTGTATATTGACACCCTAAAAGTTGTCTCAAAACCTACATATGGTAGGGTGTAAGCAACTATTAAATTTTAAGGTCAAAGGTCACAAAAATCGGTTTTTTGCGCTTTTTTTGGAAATATCTCATTTCCTATGGGTTTTTTGCTATTTGTATTTATTATCAATATTGTAGAATACTAAATTCTCTACAAATTTTGTTTAAAAACTTTTTTTATACGGTGAACCGTTTTCGAGATAGAGGGCGGAGAGCGCGCGGTCACTGCATCACTTCAGGTCAACTTAAGCGGTTTAGGTTTTTCATACAAAAGGATTTTCCCGCTAATTCCCGTGGGAATTTCGGTAATTACTTGTTGTAAATAAGCTTTAAGTTTACTAAGGTACCTACATGGCAAATTTCAAGCGTCTAACTTCCGTTAAGCGTTTAGATTTTTCATACAAAAGGATTTTCCCGCTAATTCCTGTTCCCGTGGGAATTCCTAAGTAAACTATAACCTGCCCAGGTGTATGAAGAATAATTGTACCAAGTTTCGTTAAAATCCGTCGAGTAGTTTTTGTTTCTATAAGGAACATACAGACGGACAGAATTCTATATACTCTCGAAAACGGTTCACCGTATAAAAAAAGTTTTTAAACAAAATTTGTAGAGAATTTAGTATTCTACAATATTGATAATAAATACAAATAGCAAAAAACCCACAGGAAATGAGATATTTCTAAAAAAAGCGCAAAAAAACGATTGTTGTGACCGTTGACCTTGAAAGAAGAACGGTCATCTGTGACCCAGGCCCGACAGAAACGAGACATACCTCAGTTTTTTTGTCATGTCTTAATTAGTTAAATTATATATTTTTTATATTCAAAATCTATGTATAACACCAAAATATTACCCTTTGTTTTTGTTCAGGCGTTATACAAAAACTAATACAAAATGCCTATTTATCACTGAAATTGGTAAATGTATGTACCTAAATGTCTATTACAGCTGCTATTGAATGTATCTAGGTGACCTGGAGATACAGCCTGGATTATACAGGGTGGTTATACATATGGAACGATAAGTGATCTCACTCGATTATTTCTAAACTATACAAGATATCGAAAAACTAGTTACTGATTCTGAAAGTGCTTCACGAGCTCTTGCAAATGGTACCAATAATAGGTTACAGATTATGGAAGCTGGTAACATTTAATTTTTGGATTTTGTAACTTCTCGTTTCCACCCTGTATAATCCAGGCTGTATCTCCAGGTCACCTAGATACATTCAATAGCAGCTGTAATAGACATTTAGGTACATACATTTACCAATTTTGGTGATAAATAAGCATTTTGTATTAGTTTTTGTATAACGCCTAAACAAAAACAAAGGGTAATATTTTGGTGTTATACATGGATTTCGAATATATAAAATATATAATTTAACTAATTAAGACATGACAAAAAAACTGAGGTATGTCTCGTTTCTGTCGGGTCTGGGTTTTTTTTGTATGGGGCGTGACCGTTCTTCTTTAATAGTTGCTTACACCCTACCATATGTAGGTTTTGAGACAACTTTTAGGGTGTCAATATACACATATTTACAGACTTACAGCTGGGTATCTCGAATTCCGAGGTGAACTTACTATAATGACTGGACTATAAACCAATTTCTAAAGGAGATGAAGGAGCACGACCGCCGGTGGAGCATTCAGAAGGTGGTGCAGCGATTCCCGGGCTGGAATGAAGTCACAATTGCCAACTTGCACAGCCTCTTCCTGCTTTTCGACAACCAATCCAACGGGATGCTGGGTTTCGAGGACTTGTTAGTGATTTCCGTTATTTACTATACTATACACACTGTTAACTTCTGAAATTCAGTAGATACTTAAGTATGTATCCGCTTTAGAAAATTATGAAGTCGAGAACCAAAAATCACCAGCCTACCTACTTACAATGATTTTATAACCCGTTTTTACGGCATTAAAAAAAGCAAAAAACCGTCCCAACTGCTATTTCCCGTCTTCCCGAATCTGTTGTAGTTGCTGCTTTGTAAAAAAATTTTTTTAAGGTCGCCATTCTTGTAACAGGTGAATAGAGTTATGGAGAAAAAGGGGTGTGTAGCCAATAAGACACATTCTTTTCACTCATCCCCTCACCGCTGCACCTTAAATGAAGTGGTGGGGCAAGTTCTTACTGTTTACATAACATGAACTTCACTAGTTGGGTTTTTATTGGCGGTCAAGCTGCAGATCCTGGCTACACAAGAGGTGGGAATAGTCCCGTATAACATGAAGTACCTACTTACCTACCTATGTTAATGTTCAGTTGTGCAGTTCTGGAGAGTTTGGGTGACGAGAGTCCAATGGAGATGCGCAAAGACAAGTTCAGCGCTGCCGACACCGACGGCGACGGGTGGATCACCTATGACGAGTTCTTATCGGTAAGTTTACTTAAATTAATGCTTTGTATCAAGTTACTTATAAGAGTAATCAAGAGTCTTCTAATGCTACAGGTGCCTCTTTTAAAGTTTACACAAGCTTACCTATATAAGTAGGTGCCTGAATCAGCTAATGCGGTTTCGATTTTCTATCTGATATGGCTAGCGTTAATTTATGTTTTATTTTTAGTTGGTGTACAACTTCACTCCGCGTGAAAATGACCGAGTAGCAGGACTGGCGATGCTCTGCAACGAGGTGGCGGACAACATACAATTCGTCAGCAATTTGACTGTCGGTGAACAATTAGAATACGGATTGTTCTGAAATAAAATACCAATTTTCTCATTCAAACTTTTTTATTCAACTAAATACAATCGTTTTACGTACTTTAACTATTTATCTAGCTTTATCCAATCAATATGCAAAGCTATTCTGCAACGCTTACGTTAACGTAAACTGCTTTAACACACGAGAGCTGGCTGCAAAATGGGCTTATGGTGCATAGTGTCACTTTAGCTTAATCGATTGACAAATGTCCTAGGTCTTCAATATTAGGAGGAGCCAGAGATATAAACAGGAGCCGACGTCAATTCAGATTCCATGCTCCTGGGAATACCTAAGACATAGGGCGCGAGAGCTGGCTGCAATATAGCGTAAGGTTTATGTCCCATCGTACGTTTGACAAATGCCCTAGGTCCTCAACATTAGCACTTGAACAGCTCGTCCTCGCTCCAGGAGCCGGCGTCGATTCAGATTTCAAGCTCTCTGGGTAAAAGCTAAAGAAAATGACGCGAGAGCTGGCTGCAATAGGGCGTAAGGCTTATGTCCCATCTTACGTGTCGCATTAGATTAACAGCTCGTCCTCGCTCCAGGAGCCGGCGTCGCTGAGCTCGGCCAGGCGCGGGTCGCAGGCCAGGCAGCGCGCGCCTGCCTCGCGCCAGCACTCGCCGCAGTACACGAATGGACACTGCGCCATGGTGCACGACTGCCACGATTCTGACTCTATGCTCTCTGAAAATAAGTCGAAAGAAATCAAAATTACTCCATGACAATCTGGGTTACATTTACTGGGAAGACAAAAATTGTGAAACAATCGGCCTCATCATAAATTTCCATCAGATGAGATACAGGCCAAGAGCTTCGTCCTGGTTGTGGATAAAAATTAAAAAACTGTTGGCAGGTTACAGATTTTAAGCCCTATTTATTACAAAAGGAAAGGAAGATCATGTCAAATGGTGACTGGCCAACATAACGCCCAATCTTAGCCCTCCAACTCCGTAGGCCGATTATTTGAAACGTGTCGTGGAAAGCACTTGGATGCAGGCAGCATAGCCGCCTGTCGGATATCTTTGGAGCCCTTTGACCAATGAATGTCTTTGAAACAGAAACTAACTAGTTCTGTCGCTGCTCCGGGGCTCGGTCTGGCCGCAGATGAGGCAGCTCATCCTCGCGGCCGGCGGCAACTTAATGCGGAGGCTGAGAAGGTTCTCGCCTGAGAACTATATCTTTAAGCGCGACCTTCGTCTAGGACGTCCTTTGGTTGGAACAACTAACGAGTTCTGTCGCTGCTCCGCGGCTCGGTCTCGCCGCAGATGAGGCAGCGCATTCTCGCGGCCGGCAGCAATTTAATGCCGAGAACGTTCTCGTCTGAGAACTACAGTGTGAGTCACGTTAAAGTGTACATATGAAAATAGATGAAACTAGACCTATTTTTATCGACAAAAAAGAGGTCAAAAATTTTTTGAGATTTTTTTTTAATTTTTTATAGAATTTTTTTTCTTCCAATTACTTATTGTAAAGAAAACGTAATAACTTTTAAACTAAGCGGTATATCCTGATAAAATAAAAACAGTAATAATGCTAAATAACAGGCAATACTAAAAAATACATAAAATACACAAAAAATGCCATCAAATAATAAAAAATGACACTTTTTGAAAAAAATTTGCTTTTAAATTCGTGTTTTTTTGGTTATTTGATAAATTTCTCCAAAAAATGCCCCTATAACAGGTGGTTTTTATTACTTTGTAATATTTTCTATTGTATTACCTTTGTAAAACCAAAAATCTCATGTCTCTATCTCTATCAAAACATTTGCTATCATCGTTTGAACAAAGGTCTGCCACAACATTATTCTCCGCTACAGGTAGAGACAATTTTAATTTTAACTAAAATGATTATTTTACGTCGAAATCTTTTGTTTTTAATTGAAATCTAACTTGTCTTTATCAAAATTACAAATGTAGAGCCATTTTCAGTTTCGTTGTTAACGAAGCGTTGAATGGCGCGCCCGGAGAGGCTTAGTTCAAACGATCATTGCAAACGTTGTGATAGGGATAGACCCATGCGATTTCTGGTTTTACGAAGGTAATACGATAGAGAATAATACAAAGTAATAAAAACCACCGGTTATAGGGACATTTTTTGGAGAAATTCATCAAATAACCAAAAAAATACGAATTTAATAGCAGATTTTTTTCAAAAATTGTCATTTTTTATTATTTGTTGGTATTTTTTGTGTATTTTATGTATTTTTTTAGTATCGCCTGTTATTTAGAATTGTTACCGTTTTTATTTTATCAGGATATACCGCTTAGTTTTAATGTTATGACGTTTTCTTTACAATAAGTAATTGGAAGAAAAAAACTTCTATAAAAAATTAAAAAAAAATCTCAAAAATTTTTTGACCTCTTTTTTGTCGATAAAAATAGGTCTAGTTTCATCTATTTTCATATGTGCACTTTAACGTGACTCACACTGTATATCTTGAAAGTGGCCTTCATCTAGGACGTCCTTTGGTTGGAACAACTAACGAGTTCTGTCGCTGCTCCGGGGCTCGGTCTCGCTGCAGATGAGGCAGTTCATCCTCGCGGCCGGCGGCAACTTAATGGAGAGGCTGAGAAAGTTTGCGCCTGAGAACTATATCCTTAAGCGTGACCTTCGTCTAGGACGTCCTTTGGTTGAAACAACTAACGAGTCCTGTCGCTGGTCCGGGGCTCGGTTTCACTGCAGATGAGGCAGCTCATCCACGCAGCCGGCAGCAATTTAATGCCGAGAAGGTTCTCGCCTGAGAACTATATGTTTAAGCGCGACCTTCGTCTAGGACGTCCTTTGGTTGGAACAACTAACGAGTTCTGTCGCTGGTCCGGGGCTCGGTTTCACTGCAGATGAGGCAGCTCATCCTCGCGGCCGGCGGCAACTTAATGCGGAGGCTAAGAAGGTTCTCGCCTGAGAACCACATCTTTGAGGGTGGCCTTCGTCTAGGACGTCCTTTGGTTGGATTGGAACAACTAACGAGTCCTGTCGCTGCTCCGGGGCTCGGTCTCGCCGCAGATGAGGCAGCTCATCCTGGCGGCCGGCAGAACCCGCAGCCAGCCCAGCAGCCGCGGGAATTTGATGCGGAGGCTGAGAAGGTTTTCGCCTGAGAGATAGTGCGCGCGAACTGCTTGGATAGCTTTCCTGTAGAAATTATGATTATTTTCTTTAAAATGATTATTAATTTGCTATTTCACAAATGACTAATACTCCTGTTAGCCCCTCGTATAAGCTATAAATGCTTGTATCACGAGTGAGCTCACCACAATAGTCGAGCTCGAGCGGCGGCGGGGACGGAACCCGCGTTCCCCGGATCACGAGTGGGCCAGTCCGACCCCTTCACCCTTAATTTTGCTGTGCGCATAGACATGCATCGCGCTTTGTACATGCATCGATTATTAACTACGTTTATCAACTTTCAGCCATACAGCCATTATTAGCAAATAAAATCTAAAGATGCGCGTTAATTTGCTGATTGAAAAACTTTGGTGAGAGTGTGCCACACATCCAGTACACACTACCATTTGGAATTTACCTTCTCAGCGTTTTCTGCATCTTCATTCGCTTTTTGAGTATGTCATTGTAGAGATGCAATATTCTTTGCTTTTCGCGACAGGGATAGAAGTAGCTACAAATTAGTCTGTTGAAGAAACACAAATAATTATCTAGACAAAAAATATCATCGCATTTTTAGATCACTGATCTTAAAGCTATCTCCATACCTTCTCAAGCGCACTGTATAAGGGTTAACGTACAGGAGTAAAACAATCCACAAGTACCCTCCATATATCTTAACGTAGAACAACGGCGGCATGAGACGTGGCCGAGGCAAGCAGGCGCTGTTGGATACTTCATGAGCGCTCTGCCCCGAATTGTTCAGACTGCCGAGAACTTTGCGCATCATGCTGGCAAGCGTGCCTGTGCCTTCTACCTGGATGTAAGCAGATACTTAACTGATAAGCCAAATGGGACTGTTACAAAAGTGTGAAAAGGAAGAAAAGGTTCGATAGTATCACCGAGAGCACCAACCAGTGTGGCTATTTTATATTGTTTCATCCACGAAGACGCGCCCCATCATTCTTCCACTAGGTAATGTTTGAGTGTTTTCGGTACACGCTAAATTATTATCCATGAGTGCACACGCACATTACAATAATGACGCTCGGATTGCTCAGATCAAACTCCCCGCACCCCGCGCTTCCCTCGTCCAAAAATTGGTAAGACGCGTCTTCGTGGATGAAACGATCTTTAAGACTATTAATTTATGGCGATTGATTAACGGCACATAATTATTGAATGTGCACCTGTATCTCCAAGTCTCTATTAGCGTCCCCCGGCAGACTAGAAGCAGCGTGCTGGCGAACCACATCCAGAGCTTCGTAAAACAGGCGGTCCAGCATCACAAACGTCGTCGCGGTCACCACCTCTAGGGTCACCTTTAGGATGTGGGTTACCAGCTTCTCCCGTTCTGACGATTTATATGAAAAGGAATGAACGTCTACGTATTTGCTTCTTTCCATCTGGAAAATAGAGCTATTTTACAGAAAATTTCCACTGAAACTTGTGCAGCTTATCTCATTTTGGCGCTGATTTGTGACTTTCTGTTGAACAATATGAATAAGGAAAAAGAAAGATAATTTCACCTTCTTAAGCGGCAGAAGAGTGTACTTATCCTTTTTCTTCCTCCTTGCATCGATCCTCTTGAAGTAGCTCGTAACATACACGTTGTCGTACTCGATATTGGTCAAGTACTGGTCGTGGTACGTCACGGCTTCAAGGAAGATGCGTAGGAAGAGTAGCGCTACGCACACGTTGACTGCTGTGATGACGGTGCGCATGATTATGTACTTCTCTTCGAAGGCATGCATCACGCGGTCTCCAGTTTCTTTCGCATCCTAGAACCGTACATTCCCATGGAATATAGCAACTAATTCCGAGTCCAAAGAAACTTTTCTTAAATACCCATACCCAATCCTTTTTGTATGTAATTTACCTGGATATCGTAAAGTTCGCGAACAGCGTTTATTTTATACTGTAGTGAAACGTCCTTGTTATCTGTGAGAATCTTTTTTGCTTTTTTCAACTTGTCGTAGCCTTCACCCAGTCCTGGATTCATCTGTGATGATATTGAGGAATCTGGTGTCATAGATTACCTACTACAACTTCGACTACATTGACTCGTAACTATATTTTCTACTCACATATTTTGAGTTATCACAAATATCTTCGTCTCCAATTATTTGTTTAATGTTGCAAACGCGAGCGACTTCCACCGGCCGCCATAGCACCCACGAAGCATCGTGGGATGTCACCTGGCACTGTTCGTACACCGACGCGAATATTTCCATACAAAAAGTAGAAGCGCGCGAAAGTACATTCTGACATCGGTACTCTAGTTTTTGACTGTATAAAGCTTGGTAGTAGTCCTTGTCCTCAAAATTTGGTAACTGCCTGGAATTTAGGAATTAATATTAGGAATCCGACTATGAAACTGATTTTTAACTCGTAAGCCTCAAGATATCATTGTATATGGTTTATCTTACTGTTTGTCATCAGGACTTGAATTATTGAGAACAAAGTGTTCATATTTCCTTTTGCGGTTTTGGTACATTTCATTCTGATTTTCCATCTCAAATTCAATAGGAGTAACCACGTCACGAATTGACCTAAAACCAGGTTCGTAAAAAAACATAATTCGTTGCGTTTTTGGCGCCTTTTGCAACTGGATATTGCGGCTTAAAAACTTCGCAGGCAAAAAAACAGACCTAATGGTGTCCTTGATTTGGCTGACTTCAGTCCGTAAATCGAAGATGGCTTTTTTGAAAGGTGCACTTGTGAGGCTGTACCTCGTCTTGGATAAGTTGTAGGACAGCTGGGTGCTGCAAGCAAATACCCGCACCACTTCTTTGGCGTTCAAGCCCATGTTCGTGATTGGTCCTTTTAAAACATGGGTCATGCACGTAAGTAAGCAAGTATACAAGAATAGCTGAACCAAATATTCAAGTTTGAAAAATCAACAATAGATGCTACGAACGAGTTTTCAATTAGGGTATAACTTCTATTAATAAGGGGGTTTAGACATGAAAAAGCTCACTAAACTTATCGTAAAGAAGCAACACAGAAGCAAATTAGAAAATGGTAAAAATAATCAGCTCTTACCAGCAATGACATAAGTGAGGACCACAGCCTTGAGGACGCCGCGGCCGGGCTTGCCGCAGTACATTGGTAAGGTCAGCAAGGAGATGCAGCGTAATTGCTCGCACACCAGGTTCCCGATTCCTGTAACATACTAAAATGGTTTAAATTGCACAAGATACCACACTGCAACATGTCAAATACGCGCGTCTTCTTCAGACCACGATTTTGCAGCAACAACAGTTTACACTATATAGTATTTGTGCTTACCCAAAAGTAAACTTATAACTAAAGACAAAGTCACACTTATGTGCTCAGGGAACGGGATTTTCTTCAGCAGGTAAACGTAGTATATCTGCCCCAATGAGAATCCGCCGCCAAAAGCAAGGCACCACTTCAGACAAGTTCTTCGATGGGGCTTGGAGCTTGGCTCTGATGTTTTGTACCTTCTGGTAGCCATGGAACGCTTCTGGGGACAAAATGATCCAAAACTCTTGCAGATGCTTTCCATGGTTCATTTCGGGCGCTAATGCGAACTTACATAAACCCAAAAATAACCCCTATGTGTCGTTTTAAAACGTAGTTTGAAAACCTCGCTCTGTCGCGTCATAAGTGACAAAAAAGTCAACGTGACATACTTAGATAATGTATAGTTCCAAAATACTGAACTGTCCTATGCATGACATTGACAGTGGGGCGCCACCGTCGATACCGGATCGCTGGTTCCGATTTTTGCCATGTTGGCAAAATGTTGATGGTAGCGCCCCCCTGTCATTGAGTTTGGTGGGACAGTTCAGCGTGGGTCATCTATAAAACGTATAGTTCCAAAATACTGAACTGTCCTATGCATGACATTGACAGTGGGGCGCCACCGTCAATACCGGATCGCTGGTTCCGATTTTTGCCATGTTGGAAACCATATAGTTGAACGATGGTAGCGCCCCCCTGTCATTGAGTTTGGTGGGACAGTTCAGCGTGGGTCATCTATAGTTTGAAACAGTTTGAAAACCTCGCTTTGTCGCGTCATAAGTGACAAAAAAGTCAACGTGACATACTTAGATAATGTACCTCTGGGCCACACACATCGCGATAACCCGAATTTCGCGATATGGCGATGTGTGTAGCTATTGCTTTTTTTGCATAGTCGCAAGCCTTCGCTCCGCGCGCTCTACCGCCCGAATGTTATCGAGATGTGTGTGGTCCAGGGTTAAAATTAATAGTCTCCCCAAAAACACTTGGCATGTAAATATTGCCAAGACGAGCCATTATAGTTCCAAAATACTGGATTGTCCTGTCGATGACATTGACAGTGGGGCGCCACCGTCAATACCGGATCGCTGGTTCAGATTTTTGCCATTGGGAACCATATAGTTGAACGATGGTAGCGCCCCCCTGTCATTGAGTTTGGTGGGACAGTTCAGCGTGGGTCATCTATAAAATAAGTGCCTAAGTTGCATGACTAAGCAAAACCAAGTACTTATTATTATTCTGTGGCAAAACGCCCATTGATATACACTATGAAATGAAAGTAAAGTTGAAATTGTAAAAACAAATTTATTTATCGATCATTGTTTAGTATAGGTAATTAGTCTTATAAAATTCAATACATCTTGTATAGAGAACTTAACGACATTTATTGAGAAGAAAGTGCCTAAAGCAAACAACAGCAGCATTTTGAATGCCAATTTACAAGAATAATTTACTGAAATAGGCCCGCTCAGTGCCGTCGACCCACTAGTCGCAATACGCAAAAACATTATAACAAATTATAAATACTTTATACATACAGTCATTTCTAATTTGTGTTTTAATTGGGACTACAAATAAACAATAACTTATAATTTTTTCACTATCTAACGTTATTCAGATTTTCTAGTTACGAAATAACTGGCCTCGGTACATTGTTTGTGCTGCGCTCAAAAACACAACTTGTGCACGCGATAAATATTGAAAACTTAATAGTTATGGACACTTACATTATTATTTTAACACTCGGTGTAAAATTGAAAAAATAACAACTGCATCGATCTGCTAAATGAAAATTGCGACTTTAAATTCCATCGATTTATCTTCGACAGTAAAAATTCATTATCATACATTCAGTAATGAAGTTTTTGAATTGTTATATAGGATTGAGTAAATAACGATAAAACAACGGAGCAAGATAATGTTTTAGATAAAATAAGAATGAAATAATAAGAATGATTTAAGCCTTTAAAATATTAGGAAAATCTATTGTATAAAAGAATAAGTGATATGAAATAACAAATTGATCTTTTTACTGGTCGATTTTACACATTTGTTTAGTAATATATGGATAGAGTTAAAATCATCAATTTTCAGCATTTGAGATAGGTAAGAGTAATAATTTCATTATCAGGCTCACAATGAATAATTAAAAAGAATAAATCAAATTATATTTCCAAATCTACTCACCTAAAACTAATTCAGTTCTGTGGGGCTGCAGCATTTTGAGAACAACTTGAAACATAGAACATTATTATCTAGCCCCGCATATATACGATATAAGGCAAGGCATTATTGCATTTCATTCTCGGTACACGGTTCACAAGGTGGCTATACGCGCTACAAAGGCAGGGTGTGGTCAGTCTCGCTGGGTACGGGCAGGCAGCTGTGTGTAGACAATGTCGTCCCAAGCTAGCGTCAGCGGGGTTACTCCGAAAAACGTTGTTCAAAGTCTCGAATATTGCCGTCCCTCTCACGAGTGCCACAATGAGACAGTGACAGATAAAGTCGAAACTACGTGACGGCGTTTCGGAGTAGCCCTGGTTCCGTGGGCCAGCCGAGCGGGCGAAGCGAGTCGGCTGCGTTATGCGAGCGCGGTGGGCGGCACTCCTGGATCCGTCTCTGTGACCTCCGTCACCATCGGCTCGTCTTCCGACGGCAGCTCGAGCACGCGGGGCCCGTAGAGCAGCAGGTACGCACAGTGCCAGTCACCTGAAAGGGAGAAGAATAAATTTAAACAATGACCTAATTTTAATTTGTTTTTTATTTCAGCCTACTGCATAGTCTACATGGCAAAGGCATCTTTCAAAGATTTTACAACGACCGTTTGCCAGATCATTGGTTCATGAGTGAAGTGCCTTTCTGCACCACGTCTTCCAGTTCGTGGTCACCGCTCGAAAACTAATGACTATGTGCCCTGCCAACTGCCACTTAAGTTGGGCAATTTTGCAGGCATGTCAGTAATTCTACAGATCTTTTCATTTCTGATTCGACCACTTAGGAAAACTGCGAGCATAGCACGCTCCATCGCCCTTTGGGTGATGTGACAACAGTAAGAGACCACGTATCCGTTTCGTATTTCAGTAATTTCGTAACACAGTGTGTCTTGAGACACTGCGTTACGCACGGTAACATAGCGTGCTTTAGACGGACCCTGTAAAATTTCTTGAGGGTCCATCTAAAAAAGGTCATTGGGTCAATTGTGACGATTTTTACTGAAAAAGGTCATTGCAAAATTATGGATCTTTCTTAGACTGTTCCGACTAATCCAAAAAGCCCGTTAGTAGGTAGTAGCTACACCCTGGGTACGTACCTCCTCCGCTGAGCTTAAGCACCTCTTCTTCAAGCACGGGTGTTACCACGTCGTCGTCACACCGCAGCGAGCCGCCGGCGCGCAACCCACGCCAATAATGGCCCTCTAGTCTGTGGCCTAGTGGCCCCCATAGTCTTTGGCCTGTAGTGGCCCCCATACATAGTCTGTGGGCGCAGTGGCTGTGTGGCTACTGACCTCCTCCGCTGAACTTGAGCACCTCCTCATCGGGCACAGGTGTGACCGCATCGTCGTCGCATCGCAGCCAGCCGCCGGCACGCGCGACCCACGCCACGTAATGGCTCCCTATAGTCTGTGGCCTAATAACCCTCTGTAGTGTATGGCTGCAGTGGCTGTGACTACCTACCTCCTCCGCTGAGCTTAAGCACCTCCTCCTCTGGCACGGGTGTCACCGCGTCGTCGTCGCACCGCAGCCATCCGCCGGCGCGCGCGACCCACGCGACGTAATGACTCTAGTCTGTGGCCCCCCTATAGTCTATGGCCGCAGTGGCTGTGTGGCTACGTACCTCCACCGCTGAGCTTGAGCACCTCCTCTTCGGGCACAGGTGTCACCGCGTCGTCGTCGCACCGCAGCCATCCGCCGGCGCGCGCGACCCACGCCATGTAATGGCTCCCTATAGTCTGTGGCCCGTAGTGGTCCTCTATAGTCTATGGCCGCAATAGCTGTGTGGCTACCTACCTCCTCCGCTGAGCTTGAGCACCTCCTCCTCGGGCACAGGTGTCACCCCGTCGTCGTCACACCGCAGCCATCCGCCGGCGCGCGCGACCCACGCCACGTAATGGCTCCCTATAGTCTGTGGCCCTCCTATAGTCTATGGCCGCAGTGGCTGTGTGACTACTAACCTCCTCCACTGAGCTTAAGCACCTCTTCTTCAGGCACGGGTGTGACCGCATCGTCATCGCATCGCAGCCAGCCGCCAGCGCGCGCGACCCACGCCACGTAATGGCTCCCTATAGTCTGTGACCTAGTGGCTCACTATAGTCTGTGGCCTAGTGGCTCACTATAGTCTGTGGCCTAGTAGCCCTCTATAATCTGTGGCCGCAGTGGCTACCTACCTCCTCCGCTGAGCTTGAGCACCTCCTCCTCTAGCACGGGTGTGACCGCATCGCCATCGCATCGCAGCCAGCCGCCAGCGCGCGCGACCCACGCCACGTAATGGCTCTCTATAGTCTGTGGCCCCCCTATAGTCTATGGCCGCAGTGGCTGTGTTACTACTGACCTCCTCCGCTGAGCTTGAGCACCTCCTCCTCTGGCACGGGCGTGACCGCATCGTCATCGCATCGCAGTTAGCCGCCGGCGCGCGCGACCCACGCCACGTAATGGCTCCCTATAGTCTGTGACCTAGTGGCTCACTATAGTCTGTGGCCTAGTGGCTCACTATAGTCTGTGGCCTAGTGGCTCACTATAGTCTGTGGCCTAGTAGCCCTCTATAATCTGTGGCCGCAGTGGCTACCTACCTCCTCCGCTGAGCTTGAGCACCTCTTCTTCAGGCACGGGCGTGACCGCATCGTCATCGCATCGCAGCCATCCGCCGGCGCGCGCGACCCACGCCACGTAATGCCCGGACGACGACGACCGCCCGCGGTGTGTTAGCACCGCTTGGAGGCGGTAGAAACCGCTGTTATTGCTGCCTACGTCTGTGAAGGTAGATAGAGAATTCTAGCTAGAAAATAGTTCACTTCGAAACCGTTTAACCGAGACCGTAATATGACAGACCAGTATACGTAAACATGTACGTGCACATAACACGTCACGCAAGCGTTTCACCCGTGCGTGCGGGTTCAGTATTTTCAATCTTAAGATAAATAATAGTATATTGGTAGATCAATATTTAACATGGAAGACACTTCTCAGGGATATCTGATTGACACATTAAGCAGCATGAATTCAAATGAACAAAGAATAAATAAATAAAAATTAACAGATTAATTTATGGCAGATATAAAACAAAATGTCTTACTTACCATTTTCAAACCAATAAGGCATAACTCGTTTATTTTTCGATTCTTTTTTGCTGTCTCCGTGGGGTTTGTTTTTGGCAGTGAGAGACGACTCAACATTCGCATCGTCTACTTCCTAGAAAATATAAACAATCCAATTAGAATAAGATTATGGAAAACAAAAAACCAGATCCTTGAAACTGGACCTTAAAACTAAAATAAATCATTTATTTCCCCTCACAAACTTAGGTTACCAATTACATTTGGTAAAAAATACATTATGCTATAGGTACCTAATACTAAGTTTGTGTGGGACTGGTGCCTGAAATAGGTTTTGTTTAAAACCTACTAAGGCTAATAGAGCAAAACTTACCTTGAACTTCGCCCTCATGGGCGCTAGCCTTTCTTGCAGTTCTGGTGAACAGAGCTCGTAAACATCTAGGTCCAGAGGGAATTTGACATCCTTGAGGATCTTCGCGTTGATAGCCTCCTTCTCCTTGTAGTAGAACCGCACGAATTGCACCGTTAAATACGCGGGGAGACGGCTGATTTTACTCTGAAAGAATAAGCATAAGGAAAGGTCAAAACAACAGGAAAACAGTCAAAAGATTTTAAAATAGAATTGCAAGTATTGGTATAAATATTCCTGGTTACTACTCGCGTTAGAACTCACCGTTTTAGTGTAAACAGCATCCCTTCCCAATGTTTGTGACATTTTTGTGATTTGTTCTGACATTTTCTGTAAAATTAAAACAAAATCATTTCATAAATTGCATTGATTCCACAAAAAGTGAAAGAAACTTTAAAGGATTCCATCGATGAAGACGCGCTCCTTCAATTTTTGGTCGAGGAAAGCGCGGGGTGCAGGGAGTTTGATCCGAGCAATCCGAGCGTCATTATTGTAGTGTGCGTGCGCCCTCAAGGATAATTTAGCGTGTACCGATAACACTCAAACATTAGCGGAAAAATGGTGAGGCTGGTTTTAGTGTCACGCGGATCACACGAGTGCGGATCGCTCCGCACAGCCGATCTGTATGAACTGCTAGGGATCGAGTGGTTCCTCCGGACCGCATTACTCTAAAACGTTCTCTAGAAGTTCATACAGATTGGCCGTGCGGAGCGGGTCCGCACCGGACGGTCCGCGTGACACTAAAACCAGCCTGAGGCTCGTCTTAGTGGATGGAACATCTATAATGAATTTACATTGAAACTATTACTACCCCTAAAATTTTCATTGGCCAATTTTATCTCTTTCTTTCCTATTGGCTGACTCACCGATCGCAGCCCCGACTGCAGGTACTTGACGTCCTGCGAGATGAAGCAGGACAGCTGCAGGAAGGACTCGCTGCTGCGCGTGGGCGGCTCCTCGGCCTCCGAGCACACCAGCTCCACGTCCAGGGTCCCGCCGAAGTACTGTTCGATTACGTTCGATCTGAAAGATACGCAATGCTATTTTTGGTTCGGAAAGAAGATTGGTTTTTAGAGCAAAATTTGTTTTACTTAAGTTTATGATTATCTAGTGTAGTAGTTTAAATTCGCCATTGAACTCGGCAGAATTGCGAATTTATAAAGTCCATATTAGGTTTAAGATGTTTACCTTCATTTAAAACCTTTGCAGTTGCTTTTGATACGCCTTGGCAGATCCACATTCCTACATGTCATTAAGGCCTTTTTCGAGGTTACCAACTACTATCAACTAAACAATAAAATCGAATGCTGCCATCCCGCCGCTCACAGCATGATCTTCGGTCAGACCCGACACTAGTGTCCGACCGAATGTTCGTTTTCGGTTGAGTTTCGGTAAAAATACGAGTTTTGGTTTAGTTTCGTTTTCGGCGGCAAAATTGCCGAAACTACGACCGAAACCGAATATGCATTACGATCATAGTTTATACTTAATTTATTTATATATTAAAGTCGTTTAGCTTGTGTCTTTTTTCTTTTTTTTTACTTTTTTGACTGAAGGGTCATAAAAAGTGTCAAACTGAGTTTATAAGAAAAAAGTTTACGTTTATTTGTTCTAAAGATAAAAGTGATTTATTTTTGTTTATTTTATTACTTAACTATTAAGTAACTACTTATACCTATTGTGATATTAGTAACTATGACATGTGATTTAAAGAGAAAACAATAAAGACTGACTGATTATAATAACGTTTTCTTTATATTTCGGTTTCGGCCGAAATAGACACCGTTGGCAGGCCTCCCACTAGGTGGACCGACGATCTGGTGAAGGTCGCGGGAAGTACCTGGATGCAAGCGGCGCAGGACCGGTCTTTGTGGAAATCCTTGGGGGAGGCCTTTGTCCAGCAGTGGACGTCTTTCGGCTGAAACGAACGAACGAACGAGACACCGTTGCCGAAATTCGTTTTCGGCTTCGGTTTCGGTCGGACACTACCCGACACTACGTAAATAGCGTTTCGGAGCTCGGCAAGTACGGTGACGTCACTCACCGGTCGGCGGGCACGCCGGGCGGCGCGGGTAAGCGCTGCTGCAACGCTCGCACGATCTCGGCCCAGCACTCGGACGCGTCCTGCTGCGCCAGGCCGCCGCCGGGCCCGCGCTCGCCTGCGCTGTGACGTCACTCACCGGTCGGCGGGCACACCAGGCGGGGCGGGTAAGCGCTGCTGCAACGCTCGCACGATCTCGGCCCAGCACTCGGACGCGTCCTGCTGCGCCAGGCCGCCGCCGGGCCCGCGCTCGGCGAAGCGCGGCGCAGTGGAGTGAAGCGCGCGAAGCAACCGCGCTGCCGCCCCCGCGCAGGCGCCGGCGCCGCCGCCTTCGAGCGCCGACATGGTCTCGCTGAGAGCGACTGTCAGCTCGCCCGCGTTACCGCCGCCGGATGCTATCGAAAATCATCATTGAGATTTAGAATACTTAAGGTCATAGTAGACTTATCAACTCTCAACTACGGTGCGGATAAGTGTGCATTGTAGTATGAAGTTTCATACAAAAATACTGACTGAAACGGTTACGATCCCTTTCCAGATTGAAGTGTGTCGTCCTTTACTTTATTCTTCAAAATAATTTCACATTCAAACTGAAAACACTAGACTTGGAGGTAATTTATACCCTAAAACATGCATCATACAAGTTAAAATAACATTGCATGATACAACTTACATTTATCATAGTTGAGCAGAGCATTCTTCAGCTCAGGTACAGTCTTGAGGCACTGAACAGTGGCATTCATGTAGCAGGTGTTGCCCAGGTTGATCAAACCCTCTGGGAGGTCCAGCTGTTGACAATGATGTTAAATCATTATGCAGATCCAGTCGTATTTTTATGACAAACTAGCTTTCCGCCCGCAGCTTCGCGCGCGTGGGCTACATTATTTACATATTTTATGGAACCCTATTTTTTTCCAAAATAAAATTTAGCCTATGTTACTTGTGGATAATGTAGCTTACGAATGGTGAAAGAATTTTTTGAAACGGTCTAGTAGTTTTTGAGACTATTCATTACAACCAAACAAACAAACAAAGTTTTCCTCTCTATAATATCCCACCAAAAACATTCTGTAAAAAATTAGCCAAGTCTCGATGGAGCTGCCTGTTTATCTCTAAAAAGTAATGAAATCTAGACAAAGTCGTGCCAAGTCTATGGTTCCTTACTGCGATTTCTTTATTATTATATTTAATGTTGTGTGACTTGGCCGTTGAAGGGTACCAAACCAGATGCTCCATGACACCATTGCACCAATCTGTCGCCAAATCCGCTACCCATTGACGATGGAAAATAAATTGCACTTGGAAAACGTTGATGCAATAACCAGTCAATTGTAGGCTTAATAAAGCTGCGTATTTCAATAATACTTAAATGTATGATTATCTTAATAAAGATTGTTCAACGGCCAAGTCACACAACATTAAATATAATAATAAAGAAATCGCAGTAAGGAACCATAGACTTGGCACGACTTTGTCTAGATTTCATTACTTTTTAGAGATAAACAGGCAGCTCCATCGAGACTTGGCTAATTTTTTACAGAATGTTTTTGGTGGGATTTCACTTCTTTTTGTAGAAAGTGGCATAATTTTTTTCTACGATATTAAACACAAATAAACTCAACGACCTTTAAAATGGACAACGAATCAGAAATTGTTTTAATAACAAGTGCCACGCCATCTAGCGATGAGCGGTACAGGCGAACACCACGGTTGCCGGTGTGGCGCTAGTAGTATTGATTGTGAATGTGGTGTTACTCCAGATCTTCGATTTTCCTAGTTTTTATAGTTTTCCCTTTATGTAGTCATTAAACCCTAACTCTGTACCAAATTTCAACTCTCTGAGTTAATGGGAAGCACTAGTTCTATTTTGATGATCATCAGTGAGTGAGTGAGTGAGTGTCGTAAATGCGAAACTTTGCTTTCGCTTAACTTCGGAACTAAATGACCTACAGACTTGAAATTTTGGATTTTAAGTATGTGATTATAGCTTACTAGATGACAAAAATTTCTGCGTTCTGGTCTTATCCAGAGGTTCTCAAATAGAGGCCTGAAAATGCGGCGAAATGGTTCCAGTAAAGATGGTACGGCAGTGTTTGCTTCGCGCTCGACTTGGCGGGGGCACTGCCGTGCCCCCAGATTAGTGTAGATCACTCAGCCACAAAAAAACCTATCCAACAGGGGTAATGTCTACTCACGGACATTGCCCGCGGGTGGCGTGACCGGAGAGAGCGGCGAGCGTTCGGCGAACGAACGAGCAATGTTCGGTTCGCGAGCGAACATCTAAGAAGACGATCCTGACGCACTCTCTTCAACGACTTTGCACAAAACGGTCTCGATAACATTGTAAACTTATACCGAAATTAGACAATTAATTGTATACAGTCCACTCTTTCATTTTATTAACTTCCACTACACTCACTATCGAAGTAACAGGTAAGAATAGTAAAAATCATAGTAAAACATTTATAATCTCTACTCACAGCTGTAGCAAGCTCTGCCTCATTCATGTCCTCCACAAAACGGGTTGGTTCCACGGGGACGGCCGGGACATCCTCTTCCTTGCTGCCCATCACCAGGACGAGTGCATTCTGAAATAATTATACCATAATGACTTGGGAAAGAGAGAATTCTTTAGAAAACCAAGTTTATTCAAAGATAATTTTTTAGAAAAAAAAACATACGGGTCGATTCTCAATTGAGAACCTCCTCCTTTTTTTGAAGTCGGTTGAAAAGTTCCAATAATCCACACAAATGTTTCTTCTTTGACCTTATGGCAATTTATGTATTTCTGACATTAACTGGAAGATCATTTATATTTTGATAGTAATTTGTTTGTTCATCCACTGCTGGTTTTTCATAATGAACGGTCCTGCGCTGCCCGGATCCAGGCCCTTCCCGCGACCTTTACCAGTGCCAGTTTACCAGTGATAATAATTCATGCACATCTAACTTTGCGGGCATAGACAACAACTTACAAATAAAAAAAGGAATTCTTACATTAGTCAGCTTGAAATTGCCCCAGGCGTCGTCTCTGAGAGTGACGCCCTTGCACACAACCTTCTGCCTCTCCGGCTGCACTCCGGTCAGCGCGAAGATCTGGGCCTTGAACAACACCGGGTCCTCGTCTGTGTTTACCTCCACGCCTGGGTACATCTCTTTGCCCCATTTGACTTTGACTGCAAAAAATTAATAAAACAATTAATAAATGTATCTTACACTGCGCCATCTAGTTCCAAACTAAGCTAAACTTGTAACTGTTGATACCAGACAATGGATTTAACAAGCTTGCCTAGTTTTTTATTTACAAAATACCTAGGTACATCTATCATGATCATGCATACAAATACTTCACAATTTTCTACTAACAAATACTGACTAAGTCAGTCGTCATTAAATTGTTTTTTTTAATCACAATAAGATTACAGTTGGATGCGCATTTTCGATGTTTAAACATCAAGTACTTAATTTGATATACATAATAACCTTTCATGGATATATTTGTAAAGTATCTCGATCTTACAGTTCGGTAAATAGCAAATTTATAGTACGAATCTTTTAAATTTGGACATACAAATACCGGTTGCAGAAAACCGACTGGGATTTGCATTGTTTTTGTATCGAACATGACAAAGCATTTTTGCCTAAAACACTCATTTTTAGGAGCAATATCAATTTTAACTTGAAGTATCACTAAATTTTTAAAACGTTAGCAAACAATAAGCGTTTATTACGGATTTATTAAAGAAACTTATCTAAAATAAAACTCTAACCTCCAATATTTCTAGAAGGTACTAGCAGTTTCTAAGGTAATAAAAATACAAAACACTTACCTGAAACTTTAGGCATTGTTTAAAATTTTGAAAACACACTTTACAGAAGTTATTAAATGTTAATTTTCATAAAACTTCTTGAAAAACGAAAGTCACGAATCACGATTCGCATCCGTGGGAAGAATTAACCTTGACACTGACAGCAGACGTCAAGTTATGTTTTTTCAAATGTTTTTTTGCTGATGTGGAATAATAGTATTTTAGCCATCTTCATTTTTAGACCAGTGAACTTTGGCCACACGCCACACCACATTCCATATTCGGGGTATGGCGGGATTGGCGGGGCATGGGCGGGGCCTAAACCTATACTTTTATCAATACTTCCTTTCTTTTGTAACTTATATGATAGCGTTTTTAATCGAGTTTTATTTTAAATGCTATTTGTCTAAAGTCTTAATGCTAGGATAGGTACTGATATGTGGGTTTTTTGACAAAAAATTTCCTTGATGTTAGTCAAATTTATCAAATAATTACCTAGTTAAAATGAAATGTCTAGCACCCAAGACTAATAATTATTATCCTAATATCCTCTTCTATCGATAAGAGAAACATAACATTAGGTATTGCAAAATAATCGCGCGGTTTAAAAAATTATTATTGGATTAATTTGCGATCTACTTAAACAATATTTGCTTACTATGGAAACTTTAATACCACCAGATGTAATAATAGGTCATATTATGATCAAATAAGTTTGAGTGTGATGATTATAATATCTGAAGGTAGGCCTACCCACAGGCCTACCTAAATACCTATTTAACTCAGCTACTTTTAGTCAGCAATTTTAATCTATTTAATTATACTTTTATTTTGGACATTCGGAGAACATGTAAGAGGGTATGGAAGTGAGAGTACCTACTATGTGTCCACCTATCAACGCGTCATTAGCGCCTTCTTCGCTCGCTACGAATAAATCACATTTTCCGAAGGCTTCGGGAGCGTTTTTCTCAAGCGTTGATCGCGTCGCACCCGCACAGTGGAACTCGTTCGATGAACTCGCAGGCTGCGCGGGCGCCGCGCCCAGCGACACCTCTCCAGTCTCCAACAGATCCTCAGCGGTACCACGCGTCCGTAACGCATCAAACAAACTCGCGTTCAATTTCTCACGACGAAAAAACTCTCTCTTTAGTGGGTGGCAGAGTGGAGTGATCGCGCTGTGATAGTGTTAATCAACGACGATTCTAATGTGATGATAAGTTATGTGACGGACCACACGAGAGCCAGAGCTTACTGTAAGTTTGCGAGCTTCTGCGGTTTACTTTTATTAGAACGCATATTATCAGCGTCTTATTGTGTGTGAGCCTAATATGATGCATAGGTATAGCCTGACCAGGAACATAAAAACCCTGGCATAGAGGCGCATCAATTGCATTTGATAGTGCAACACTGAGTACAGTCGTACCTGTGTTAAATTAATAGGCTAACTTTATGTATCAGGATTCTGGATTACGGGCTAATTTGATATTTTCATAAATTAACGAAAAAATATTATTATAGGTAACCTGGTTTAAATAAATTAAATGAAACCATTAATCGAGTTAGTAGGATTTATTTTATTATTCGTCAATAATCAAATTCAGAACTTGAATATTCAACTGCAATGTCTGCTCATGAACGCTTCAAACTCGGTACTTCTTTCCCAATTCCATAAAATTCAACACTTAGAAAGTGACAAAAAACTTTAAAATAGGTAGTTTAAACAAACCACAGCTAATTTTCATAGTGGACTGTACTATACGATAAACATGTCAGTCAATTTGACAACCTTTGTCGGAAACATTATTCAATGAAAATATTGTCCGAACCCTTAGTATTTCTCTTCGACAAATACTTCAACACATTGTGAACCACTTTTCTTTCACGACTTTAAAAATATTTTAGCAATTTAACTCACAAAATCAATTGCGCACATTTAAAATAAAGTTTGTTTACACTTTGACAGCAATAGACTGACATGCAAGGTGACATATCAATGAAGTTTTTAGTTACTGTTGCCATTAAAAGAAATTAGTACCATTAGTTTTCCGCAACATGGCGAGGGTTTTTATGTTCCTGGTCAGGCTATACATAGAACATTTATTTTTTTATTTGACTGTCTTTAAATATGTGCGCTCTTTTGGATATTAACGAATAGAGGTACCTACCTAATGTTTAATCAGATTTGACAATAATTAACTTAATTTCTAGATCGCTCTATCGTGAGATACAATTGTATGTTGCATCTATCTAATAATATTCATCCATATCTTTAACATTCTACAAATTAAAATTACAATCAACTACAACAAACTACCTACTTGATTCACCATCCATAATTTCCATTTCAGTTATCCTCATACCTGTTCCTAAAATCAGAATACCGACCTACATAGTTGGCATTTAGGACACATTACCACCAACTCGATACTTTAATGGGCTATAAAATCTCGTGTACGTCTGCATACCTCCCGAGAACAGTGACAGAATCCTGTCTCACTTTATGCGTTTTGAATACAAAACGAGTCACAGTATTTGCAAGGCTGAAGTGGTTTCCTCGATTTGTTTTTGCTCAGCGTGCGGAATTTATAATGACGCGGGCGCAGGATCGTCTACCTGCCGGTAATAGTCCACATCGATTAGGACATCAAACATTAAAAACTTTTACGACTTTGAACTGTGCTGATGCTTTCTAAAAGCTATCACCAATAAATTTAACCATTCGCTATATTTCTTCAAGAATAAACTGGTCTTACAGATATGATTACTGATTTGACTCCTCACGCTGAAAGAACACGTTTTAGTTGCAATTTGACTACTAATTTCTACCAATTTCTTTAATGTAGAGTTCATCAACAATCAAATCTTATGCCATCAACTTTCCAGATTTCTATTTTCATCGTTCTCCTCTACATCTCTATCTAAATAAGGTGTCCACTTGAAGTTATTTGCAGTTTTGCTAAATTAACTTTTTAATAGCAGTTTTAATATGGGTTACTCTAGTTAAAATGCACTTTAACTAGAGTATGCACGCCACCGCATCGAATGTACGAATGATGAATTGTTGTAATCCAACGAAATCTAATAATCTAAATGAATCGTTTAAATGCTGAACAGGTTTGGGCAAACTTAGTGAAAGTTTCATCGTCGACTAATAAAATGATCCTCATAAATAATATCACTAAATTATTTTAATATTATAATGAGATGAGATGTAGCTAAAAGTAAGACAAGAAAAAGTACTCTCAATTTTTGAACAAGCTGGCAGGTAATTCCGTTCTAGAGCACAACTAGAAACCTATAAAATATCTAATTGGACTGTCTTCAAAATCAAATGTAGGTATCTACTAATGTGAATAAGATTATTATATTTCGTGCTATTGGTGCCTAGACAGCTCAAGCTATGTAAGAATACCTGCGTAACTTGTAAATGAAAGCGCAATTAAGTACGCTATTCTGTACATGAAACTGCAATGTAGGCATGGTTACTACGTATATAAAAATGTCGATTTTTCATGTTCATGTTTGTGACACTGTGAAGTAAGGTTAGTCCCGGTGATAATCCTATTTTTATCTAGTACGGTACTACACCCATTGCCTTACAAGTAATTGGTTTTAATTACACCACCAAAAGTCCCGAGTACAACGTCCTCCACATTCGTACAGCATTCGAAGGTCGTCCCTCACGTGGCGCGCTGTTTCCGCCGCAACCTGTCTCACCAAGCTGGGCACAAACTGTAATTACAGAACAGCTGTACCCCGAGCACGAGTAAATATCGTTCTCGTTATGGTATGCCATCGTTTATTTCTATGAAAAAAAAAACAGCGGCGCCATGTCATTTAAGGAAGACGATGAGGTATAATTTACGAAAGTCATTCGTGCTCGGGGTTCTGATGCGTTCTCACTTATTTTACACAGTTCAACGATGTTTTTGCAAAGATCTCACTTCATGAAATCAACTTAATCAAGTGAAAACTCATTGAGATATTCCAATTTTTTGATGACGAATGATCGAAGCGATGTCAGTCCCATTGTGCTATTGTTAGATTGTTACCGATATTTGAATATAATACAAGACGTCTTCTACGAGTATCAAGAGCTACAAGTACATACAACAATATCTATACTAATATTATAAATGCGAAAGTAACTCTGTCTGTCTGTCTATCTCTCTTTCACGCCTAAACCACTGAACCGATTTTGATGAAATTTAGCAGGACTTTAAACTATCTCTATGATAGTTTAAAGTCCTGGGAAAGGACATAGGATAGTTTTTATCCCGGTTTTTGAAACAGGGACGCGCGCGATAAAGTTTTCTGTGACAGACAAAATTCCACGGATTGAACGGAAAGCTAGTTTCCTTATAAAAAGTAAATATACATAAAGGAACATATCTCAAACTGTTCTAGTTGAGATGAAAAGGCGTGGTCGGTTCTCATACTCTTTTTTAGTTATTTTAACACCCTTATAAAAGCAACCAGCAACTTTATAATAGGCAATAAAAGCTACAATGTAACAAACCTTGCAACAAATTGCTGTAAACCACTTAATGTTTTACTTTCGCGTATATCGTATCGATTGTGAACGAGGTCGAAATGCAAAGTTATTTTATTACCTATTGCTAATTCGTATTCAATGGTCTCAGACGACGCGCTTGTTACATTTATGGATGTTATTTAAATATTTAAGTGTTTATTGAAGCGAGAAACTATCGGACTTATCTTTGATTCTGTAACGTAGATATTAGAACGTTAATTAATTTTATAATGCTAAAAGTTTACAATCAATTAATAGCGCTTTTATCGGGTTAGCTTTTTCTTGTGTAGTCTGTTATACCTTCCTTTCCCCTATTTTATAATAATTTGACTTACTTTTTATAGATAGAGTCAGTTAAGAACAATTAAAAAAAAACTTTCATAAATTGTGGCGTGTGCTCTACATTTACGATATGGTCTATTGGACCATCTTAGAGCCTAGATCTGGTCCAAGCAGGATATACTTACAATGCATTTCATTTGTTTTATAAAAGTAGGCAAGAAACAAAATTATCCTGAGTCAATTATTATAAACTTCGTGTGCTGTATAGTGAAATAATAAAATTAGCGTAATAACCTCAGATTAACCCCCATACTGTAGGCCTGATTCATAAAAACGTCTTGCAATGAAGCTATTCGTGTTTAAGTTATTCAACGCGTACAGAAATTTAACTAACTTTATAAAGCAGTGTGAAATTTGAGGGACCCGCGGCGCGGCGTCCAGCGGCGGTCACGGTTCACGCTCCGAGGCTCCTCAATTTGTACAGGCGAGCATATCGAGTTTGACACTAGGGCATCTTATGTAGTTGTAATAGGTGCTGTTTTGCAACAAAATTGTATAGGGTGATGTGCTATCGATTGTACATAAAATACATCTAGCTCTAGTATGTCTAGTAGCCAGCCCTATTAGCATGAGTGACACGTAATATCCACTAAGAGTAGGCCTCAGATCATAGAAAGAGAAGCGCACACCGTTGGCACACCGTTGATTTTTAGTTGGCTGATAGTTGTGCCCGATTTTAAATTGTATGAAGAATCGGCCAAATCCAATCGGCGTAGTGTGCGCACTCCCATACATGCCCATACTGATCAACTGCCCGACTAAACTATCGGCCGACGAAAAATCAACGGTGTGCGCCTACTCTTAATCTTATCGGGTTTTACAAAACATATTATAAACGACACTCATAACTTTTTAACCATGTTAAATAAACACCCACAGACTTGAATCTATTCTTGATACTTCAGTTATTTAATGAGCCGGGTTTAGATGACAAATTATGTGTATACGGACATATAATTTCGTCTAAACTCGATATAACGACCTGTTAAGATTGTTATCCTGTCAATATCACCCAAAAAATAGCCAAAATAGCATTAGCGCAGAATTGCAGAAAATGTTAATCCAAATGTATGTAGGTATAAGACTGGCTCGATCAAGTTTTGAAACCGGTTAATATCGATCTCATAAACTACAAACAAGTCAAACACAAATTCACATACCTGATATTTGCTATGACTCATAGATTAAAATTTTGTTTCTATAATTTTATCTCATCATACTTTTTCATTGTAATTAGAGCAGTATTTCAGTCTTCACCTGTTTTGTCCATGGATCCTTAGGAAATCAAGCACAATTTTAATGACCCCCTTAAAAAGCAGCAACTACCTACAGACTTTTGGTGGTGATTTACTTAGGCTGGGTTGCACCATTTTCCTT